AAGATTCGCACACACAGATTTTGAACCAATCCTTTATACTGGGTAAGAGATATCGTGCTTTTGTCTCTTATTCTTTTGTACAAGCGGCGTGCGCAGTTTATTTATGCATCAGTGATTTTAATACGGTTCCATAGGGACCTAGCTCAAATGCACGCATTTGTCAAGTTTCAAGTGTGTACGTCAAAGATTTAATTTACAATATCAACTTTCTGCTAATTGCGTTTCTTTTTCCTCTCAGTATATAAGCATATATTTCTCCCGCTATTTTTTTGGGTTTTTTTTTTTAATTGGTTTTGATATTGTTTTCGAAATAGTGGTTTCAAACGTTTGATGTTTTCAGCACCCAGATGACATTTTAACCGAGTAGGCTTTTTGCCGCTATTTCTTGGACGAAATGGATGGATCCTTTTTTCAAGTTTCGTGCGTGTATGTGTCGGTTTTCTTTTTTCCCCAGTGTTAAATGTTCAGTTTTGGGTACAATAGAAAACACCGGTTTACAAAAGAACACATTTATGTTGAACCTCGGACTGATCGTAAAGGTAACTTGCGGTCGCTATTTCAAATTCTAAATTTGAAAAAAAAACTGAAGGGACCGTGCTCTATATGAATGATACGTTACCTTCCCTTCAGGTCTGTTATTATGAACTTCAGAGAATGAGAATTAAAGAGAATATTTAGATAGTCAATGTAAAGAAATTTGTCGATGAAATTACATAGTAAAAAATTGTCAGTCTGATTAGGAGTGTAGCTCCGATGTTTTTCTATGAATGCTAACATATAATGTCCCTAGTTCGTGTGTGATTAAGGTGCCGTACACCCTTAAGTGTATGGGTCACTTGGTCAGTTATTTTAGGAGATGCCTTATACAAAGGTATTAGCCTCAATACATGCAAAGTATAAGTGTATTGACAGACGAGGCTAGAACCTGTGGACCATAGAGGTGTTTCAGGTAAGTGTGAGCTATCCCATTTTTGGTCCCCTACAACCTCTAGTACACTAAAAGATCCGCCGTCCTTGACATGTGTATATCATAAAGAATTTTCTGATAGAAATTAACATTAATTCCTCTTTAATTCCATTAATTATCTATAGATTTCTTCTTGCAAACTTTTGCCATTCTATGTTCAATTAATTAGGGGATAGTATGTTTGTTTTCATGCATATATAATTGCTAAAACGACAAAATTCATTATCAAATCTCAGTATATGCATGAATACAAGCATACTATATCCGTTCTAAAATAATTTGAGTCAATTTGTACAATTTTGTTCGAAACGGTCCCTCACGATGTCATAGCCAATCAAAACGCTCCTTTCAAGTAATTTTGTACATGTATTATCTGATCAGACACAAATTCAACATGGCACAACTATTAGATACCATGGAAACCCCATATATCAATTTAAAAAAGGGCAATAACAATCGTTCATTGTCAAAAATCCAAGTTGGCCGCCTGTCTTTCTTTCGATCAGTCCCCAAAATCAAAAGAGCACGTTATTGGACGAAGGGGAACCTACACAATGATGAAATTTAAGAACGAACCATCCAGTACTTCTCAATAGAGCTAACAAGAACTGTGGACGAACGGACGCACAACGTACCCCTCGCCTTGGACGGAAGGTGATTTCAATAGCCCACCATCAAGTGATGATGGGGTACAAGTAGGTATTTTTATGGGGATCATGACTGCACTAACATGTTACAAAATGGATGCCATGGCTGCCATATTTTACAAGGCCATAAAAATAATGCATTTTGTTCGCTTCCTTTTCTTAACATACCCACCAATTTTCAGTCCATTAGTACCGGAAGCAGTATTCTATGCAGAAATAATGTTGCGGCAAGTAGGGAAACTATGGCAAAATACAGTCTTGGTTTTTATAAATATAATTTGAAATCTAAATTTTAATTTAAAAGTACATGTATAACGAAGAGGCAGTAAGTAACAAATCATCAGCATCCCAGAAAACCGAGGCTATAACTTTTCCAGTCGATAGAACAGTATTTGCTTTCTTTGGCGGGGTTAAACCAGGGTGCTTCCATTATTCAGACTGTTGTTTGGCCTCTGGGGTGAAATAATGGATCTGGACCCATGCTACATCCATAGTCACAAACATCTCCAGAAATTTAGTAGGATCTGCCTCTAAAAGGTTCAGATTTACACACGACGAAGTCCGAATGGTGTGCATCTGATCAACTGTCAGAAGTCTTGGTACCAACCAGGTGAGAGCTTCCTCATGGCAAGATCCTCCGTAAGAATGGAATGTACTCTTTCCTGTGAAATCCCAACTGTACTGGCTATATCTCTCAATAACTCGCCTATCAGCTATAACAAATCATGGACATTACTGGCCAGTTCTGGGGTTGCAAGTGTAACGGGCCTTCCAGGACGGGCGTCATCCCAAAGGTTCTACCTGCCTGGCTTTAATTCTGTGTCACCCACCTTTACACTCTAGCATATAAAGGGACAGCACTCTTTAGTTTTGCTACCATATCAGTATGGATATCCTTAGGTGCTAGACCTTTCTTACTGAATCGCAGCTCTTTCAGCGATTTTGTCCATTTTGCAAAAGACACCTGTTTTGTTTACTTTAAGATGCTACATCCTCGACATAAACAGACCAAATAACACCAGTCTTCGGGTACACATCTTTAAATAGCCAGGGAATCGTAGAGCGGAAAAAGACATCCTTATATAGCCAGGGAATAGTAAAGCGGAAAAAAAACATCCCTGTTTAACTTCTTCCATACAAGGCTCACAATTTATCAATCAGTCTTCGTATCATGCAGATATTTGCTTTACCAAAGCATTTAAATCTCTGTCAGCGTACATCTTGCATAGTATACCTCTTCAAATTAAAACTATTCTTTGAATCAATAGAAAAATATCTTTGTATCACTGAATGTAGTCTATTCTGACGTAATTAAATTAAAGTTGGAAACCAGTCGCATCACAACGTTTGTTGTACATCCACATAAGGGAGAAGATTCTGTAATACTTGGGTATCCAATATTTCGCTGATGTCTGTACACAAGTAAGCAAATGCTACGCTATTTTAAAAGTTTGGTCTTCTCATACATTAAAATGAAATATTTTCAAGATGGCAGCCAAGGTGGCCATATTGGATTTCAGACTGACCAGATAAATAACAACACTATACATCTCAGGATCATTTCAGCTCACTCCTACTGTCTTAACTTGAGGATAAACTTTAAATAGGTAGTGTTTAGAGAAAGCATGATTGTGCAACCATGTTACAAAAACGCCGCCAATGTATAGCCATAATGAACTTTTGACGAGGCCGAAAATTCCAATACTGGTTTCCCTTCTTTATTGTTCCGATAACTTTCAGCTCAATGGCACCAGCGAAATGTGAGAAGAAGTTTAACTATCTTTTACAGGATTGCAGCCATATTGGATTTTCACCAACTTCACTTTTCACTTTGTAACGACCATCTTAAGAATTTCATATCTTTTGTATTTTTTTGGATGGGGGTTCCAGAAAAATGCAGTTTATGTAATATATTGAGACTTTAATTAGAATTTCAATTAAACATTTATGTATTTATATTGATTTTCTGAATTACAATGTATAACACAATAGTCTCAACAGTGATTATAACTTTACTCTCTTTTTGCTTAAAAACTGAAGGTTCTAAACAGAGACGTATATATCACACATATGTGATATATACGTCTCTGATTAACAGTACGAAAACTCTCAATAGCAAAGAGAAAAGAAAAGGATGGGAGAGAATATTCTGATTTTGAAAATGAAAACTTGTTAAACATATAAGCACCGCCTTTACAAATGCGACTAAAACCATAATATATTGTCTTTCACCATATTTTGACTACAAAATTCTTTCTTTTTTTAAAGCAAAGATGATAGATAGTCCTCTCTGCAATAGCTGTAACTCTAAAAGGAGAACTTTTGCGCATTTATCTTTTTTATCAATTTTTATAGTCTAGATATGTTGTCAAAGTCTTTATTAATACATTTATTGTTACCATTGAAACCGATAACCATCACAAATTTCAGTATTACTGAGCCAATACTCTGACAAGGTAATTGCTCAAAACTCTTCACACACAATCATTAAGCTAGTAGTATCTTTTGCTATGGGGAAGTTCTCCATTTAAATACTTTTTATGTTATCATGGAAACAGATAGGCCAAATCACAAAGTTCAGTTTTTTTCAGACCAGTTCTCTTAAACCATTCAAGGTAATTACCTGTTATTCAAAGATTTGTACAGGCATCAAGCTAGTATTATAGCAGAAGTTCTCAATTTTAATGCTTTGTATGGAACAATTAGAAATAACAAACAGAGATTAACTTGTTGTAATATTAACACACACACACATATATATATATGTGATTGTGTGCCTTTATTTTAAACAGCTGGGCAAAGGGAAAATGCCATGTTTTGCGTTATCTTGTCGTCTTTTGTTTTGTTCTTCATTGTCTGCCTTCATGGTGTATGATTGTATGTGCATGACTTACTAAACATATGGAAATTTTATTATTTCAACTTATAAAAATCACACTTGTAAGCATGAGAAGGTTCTAATTTTAGGAGAAAATCTGTATCCCTTCGGGAAATCAAACCCCAAACGGCTAGGTGAAAAACAAGTGTGTTACAACTGGTGCACAAAACCACCGCCTGATCACGGTGATGAATTGTTTTCTAGAAGGAGAAGAAGATGTGTTGCTGCTGCTGATGATGATATATTGGTACATTTGTATGTGCCGATGTTTTGTTAAAATCTTAAAAAACAAGCTTCAGTGCAGACATGGATCAGGCTGTACAAAATGTGCATCTTGTTGGCCAACTTGCGCTTGCTTTTAGGCAGTGTCTATTTCATATTATTTTCATTACAAGTAAAGCATAGGCCTTGGGGCCGTCAACGTAGCTAAGTACACAAGTTAAAAATGATACTCTACTTGATCATTTTTTTATATCCGTATCTAGAAATTCAAAAATAAAAATAGGTCTCAGCTTCATATATAAATTTTAATTCTCAAAATGAAAAAGTATTTAACAGACAATTTCTCAATAACCCAAGCATATTATTTACATTTAATTGTTTTGTGTATTCTGCTTATGAATTAGATATTTCCTTTTTTTTTTCTCCTATCTTTCTTTCACAATATTTCATGAACTCTTCTCTGATTTTTTCTTTTTCTTCTTCAACTTGTTCCTCAATGCCCTGTTTTAAAAAAAAGTAAAATTTTGTTCATTAACAGTTAAAGTAACCATAATATGTTGAAAAAAATATCTTCTTTGCTCTTTTGTAAACCATTCAGTTCAAAGGGTTCCAAAGATGATAATGCACAACTAAGGACCACATATACTGTCAAAAAAAGCTAATTAATAGAAGATGAGCATCTGTTGACCACCCTGTTTTTCTGATCAGTACCAATGGCCAGTCACATATATATAAATCTTTATAATTACTGCACTCAATGCAGGTAACGCAGTATATGTTGTACTTGTGAGCAAAATGTTGCTAAGTACATTCTTCTAGATGTGAAACAGGTCCTTAATACTGTGACATAAATCATTTCAAAGAGTTGTTGTAACACTTAACATTTCTCTCAATAGCTTAAAAGTAGTCTGTGTTACAAGAATCATCTAGTTTGTGACAATTGACCGTGTGTCGTCAAACCATAAAATGTGTTTGATGCATATTAATTTTAAATGAGACTGGTAAGTAAATCACAAACCCTTTATTCACCAATTTCGTGTTTCAAAAATTATTTGTATTTTAAATTTATTTATAGCTAAATCAAATTAAAACAATCTAGAATCAAGTATGTATAACTGTAGCTGGATCTGTAGGGCATGACAACTCTGGGAACAGTATAATGCTAATTGTATTGAGTGCATCTATATCAAACACAAGTGTTCCAGGAAGAAGATTTAGTCGAGAGACATGGTTTCACTGCATAACACAGGGAACTTTTTCTGTAAACAGTATCACACCACATGAACATGCATATGTCACAACTGCACAAAGTGACCCTTTAAATTTGGAACCCTGAGTCTATTAAATGCTGTGCTGTTGCTAATATTTACTTACTTCAAGGGGCTTGTACCTATGGAAGACAACAGTTGAACCAGCTATCCCAGTCATTGTAAATATCACTATCGTTGTTAAATACTGTGTTGCAGAAACACCAAAAGGCATGTTTGCCCTTTCCTAGTCCTAACAATAATAATCAAAAAATAATTCTCGATCACAATTGATCAGGATGTGTCATTCTGGTCTCCGTCTTTCCATAAGGAAGTCCAGTGTTATTTCTTGGTCTTTTATCAATTCATGAATGGCTTGCTTTTTGGCTTGTGTCTTTCTGTACGTTTTATCTGCAAGACAACACAAACATGAAATGTATATTATTTAAACACATGTAATATAACAACAAAAGTAAATGATATTATATCCTGTCCTGGCAACTAAAACAATTTTAGTTGTAGTTTTCTTATAGCAGGTTTTATTGAAAAAGTTAATGATCAATGCATATTTGTGAGATTTATATCTGATGTCATATCTTATTTGTATCTCCATCATAATATAGTATCCTGACACTTGTTCTGGCCACGCTATAAAGTATCAACTTATTTACAATTATATTCTAAACAAGTGTGTACCATGAAAATATGTTTGTTATATGATGACATTCAGAAAGCCAAGTCTCCAGGGAGAGATTCCTCAGACCACTGACTTATAGATTATATCAAAGTCCATAATCAGATATATAGACAGGAGATATATACGGTGGCCACCAGAAAAGCATCTATGGGACATTTAGGAAAACATTGAGGGAAACACATATTAATGATAGCCACATACATATCAGTTTTTTGCAAAATATTTACTTGTATGTAAATTTGTTTTTCAACAATGACGAAGCATAGTGTTTGAAAATAAAGAGAAAACTTTTATTTCAAATTTGGTGTAAAATAAATCTGTTAAAAAAAAGATGTTTTATTTCGCTTCAATATTGTGCAACAAAATCAAAAAAAGGGCAGACTCCCTGCTGGAAATATTTAACAGCATGTTGAGATGCAGAAAAAATTGAAAGTAGCAATGAAATATTTCTATCAGATCTAGGATATATCCTTTTTTCATGAGCAAGATGCACCCTTGTTGCGCTATTTCTTTATTTTTCCCCTTCGCTTCACGTAACATATTAAAATGTTTGTTAAATTGTAGGTGTTTTTACGTTGTTTTTATTCTTTGTTTTATTTATTTATTTTTTTTGCGATGAAACAATGCCATGTTTAATTAATGATATAATACAAAGTTTAAATATTACAAGGGTGATGTTTAAAACGCCATGAATCCTTTACTGGGTCAGCAATATAACACAGTATACACACATAAACACGACACACGTAACGCATTATGCAAGTGTACAACTTTTTACTGCTTACAAAAATTTGTCGAACCCGATGTCCAGTGGATCATTACATATTCAAGCACTGCGCCGCCAACGAACATAAACGGTAACAGTCGATAAACCCCAAATACTTTTTTTCCTGGGATAGCCTCTAGTATATCAGCCATAACCTTGGATCGCAGTTTCATCCTCTCCTTCGAAATACCGAGTTGCTGAAAAGAAAGCTTATTCTATTGGTGCAATGGAAAATATTCACCAATCAAATTGTTTGTTCTATGCTAAATTCGATCGATAGTATTTTATCAAATAATGACTTCTCCCTCGATTATATTTTTAGATCAAACCTGAACAGCGATTGGCTAAAATGGTAGCCTTTGAACTGACTTGACCAATGGGATTACAGGTTTCACAGACAACAAAGCATCAAGCACCTGCAGGTAATGGTTCTGTTTACGTCGAGTTTTTTTTTTGCACTAACGTATTCACGATTGGAAAGGTATAGATATTATATAATGTAGTTAGAACAGATAAATAATGTACGATTATATTAGTTGCAAACACATATTTATGAAACGATGGATGAGTAATTTATGGCTTCCAACATGTGGCATTGTGATTCATATTACTCAAAAATGGAGGGGTACTGTAGAGCAGAGGGTACTTTAAGCTCGATCAGGACAGTTTAAGAGATGCAAAGTTGAATTTGTTAATTTATGGATATTTTAATGTTTTCTTTCACATCGAAAGTTGCAAGTATAAATTTGCTTATTTGTTCGCTTTGATTTCCCCGTTTTCAGCTGGTTGTGGTCCCGTGTTGTATACACCAATGACCAGTCCTGGACATGTATTACAGTACTGGTCATGGCCCAGGGCAGGGCTTGTCCAACACAAGGTCGTCATGTTGTGTGACGTAATCATATATGTTTTTACAGGTGGTCGAAGGCATTGGGACATGACTGCTATTATCATATCCAGGACAATCTGTCGATCTACATAATATTATTGTTTAACTATATCTGACTAAATAATAGCAGCTCTGTCGACCTGATACAAGAATATCTGATAGCCGTTAGAGGTTCTGTGGTAATATTCAACATTTATATGAAATTGCTACATTTAATTGTTTCTTGTTATTGTTCATAAACGCGTTTTTGATGATAATTTTGCATCAGCAATTAAAAGAAATATGTTCACTAAAAAAAGGAACCCATTCTTCAGATGCTACTTGTTCTATTTTTCTGACATCTTATCATGAAATATATGAAGGAAACATTTTTCAGGTTGTTTGAAACAGCTGTTACAAGTCATCATGACTGTGAAGTGGAAGATAATGGTTACAAATATATTGTTAATTGTAACAGTTGATAGATAGCCCATTACCAGACAATTTAACAGTATATTGGTTGTTGATTCAGCTTAACATTCAAATCTACAATAGATCTAAAGTAGAGCTACTGCATGCATTCAGTTGATAGTGTCTTCTGGGATTATTGCCCCTGAATAGCAAGGACATCTGCATTTTGTTGTAGTAGCCAATGGTTAGTTCACTGAACAAGGAAGGTATGTTGCATACCATACAGAACAATTAATCCTAGGATAATGTGTCTTGCCCTAAGATACAACTACATCAACACAGATTGGTCCATTTCTCAGCTTTCTGAAAATTACAAAGTGCCAAGTTTAGGGAGCATTTAACTAAAACCTCGGATCTTATTCTTTATGATCAAACAAGGTTTTGATATTGGCCAATACTGTAACTGACTGAGCTGTCATGAGCTCTTCATTTGGTAATATTAACAACTGAACTTTATAACTTATATATTAAAGTTAGATCAGTTATTTTTCACAAATAAAAAACTGTCCTGCTGCCTGCATTATCATATTGTTAATTAATGATAGAGATGATAGGTTTCCATACTATTATAAAAAAAAAATATTAATTAAAGTAGATTTCACAAATATCAAAATGGTCCGAGGTTTTCCACTTAGCAACTGGGTGACGAAAATGTATTACAGACAGCTACTGCAACTATGCTGCTGATGTGTTTATATATCTGCTAATGAGAACATTTAGGAGGCAGCATCCATGGCATTTATATATTCTAGCCAGCATTTGAGTAATGAAGTATAATTGTCTGCTAAAAGGTTGTAATTGCAGATGTAAAAATTGTGCAATAAAGAGGACAATAGAGAAATTGTACCATTCATAAGCATCACACTTTGGTTCCCATTTGCAATATCTGCCTGTTATAGTGGTACCAACTTGATTGCTAATACAACCTATTTGTCACATGTATGCAGAAAAATAGATGCTCAGACCTATTGGGAGAGCTAGTGTCATGGTAGGGTACGGCATGTAGGTAGACTGCATGGTTGCAGGTTTAACCATTATTTACGTAAATGGCTGCCAGATCAATATCCACTCCCATCAAACTGGCAAGTTTGACAATTAGCATGAAAGATGTATTTTCTAAGTGGCATTTTATGAAACTGACAAACAAATGGTGTTATTAATTACTTGGTAATCAGTTCATTTGAAAGCAATCCTAAGCATTATGGCATGATGCTGATGAGTATGAATGATATGCTTGTTATTATATACATGGATAAATCATAATTTTATATGAATTTTAATTTTAGCTTTTGGGAAACTAACTTGCTGTGCAGCAATGGAACAAAATTCAGCATATTTGTAAGTATTTTACTAGACATTGTTTTTAGAGGGAACTGGGTACTGGATATCATTGTATCTGTTGGACAATATAATTCTGTTCATGTCTGATTTAGAAGAATGCTTTTGATCAGTTTTGAAGTATATTTTGTGTAACATATTGTATGATTAATAGCCTGACCAGACCAAACATGTTATATTCTATTGACCACAGCTTGGGACCTATAGGTTTTCTCTTAGTATTTACTACTATGGCTTTAAGTAAACTTCTTTGTAAATCTGAGATTCAGAGCAACTTGAGATTTGTTTAAAATCCAATGCAGAAAATGAAATTCACACATTTACCTGCTGACTTATGCTAAAATATAACATGATCACTTAGCATTAGGTGTGAAGATCTAGAGTTGTACATCACTACAATGATAGCATTTGAATATTGGAAATAATCCTAATTCATCCACTTCTAAAAATCAGACAATTTTCTGAGATCATGAAATTGATATGTTTTAAAGCAAATTAAATATATATTGACATGGTACTTCAACATTTGTTGTTATAGAATTAATCAATTTTTATCCTTCAGTCCTATGGGAACCATGAACCATGCAGGGATGCAGCACCCTGTAGTGGGATTAGCCAACAACTTCAACATAAAGACAGAACCTCAGTTAGATATCAAGTCTGAACCACAGGATATGTTTCAAAGGTACATGTAACTTAATTTGAGATACTTGGAAGCATTCGTTTGATAGGTATATCTTAATTGAAGATACTTGGCAGCATTCATGGTATACATAAGTAAACTGACATAGAACAATGTGAAGTAGAGCTAGCACTCTTTGACATAGAAATTGAGTAATAATTATTTTATAGAATGTTGATGTTCATCTCTTTAACTCTTTTTACTTGTATTCTCCAGGTCTGGAAATTCCAGCCACATGTACATTTTATACAGAAATTGTTTATAATGCCTTTTTTCTATCCCCCCTAGTGTTACTAGTAGTACAGGAAAGGGCAAATCTTCAAAGGCCAAGAAAAGAAAGACAGAGAAAGTGAAACAGGAAAAAATAACAGACCACATGCAAGTGAAGAAGAAGAAACATGATCGTTTTAAGGGCATGCCTGAAGAAGAAGTGATGAAGCGTCTTCTGCCAGATCACCTGGCAGAAGATTTAGACATTGTTATTGTAAGTTTCCAGGTGTATTCTTTCTGTTTTTTCAAAACCACTAATGGTAGTAAAAGTTTATGCTTATTGCTAAAAGGATGTTCATTGTGAGTTGGTCTAGTGTGTGGTGACATTATAACCTATCAATGACTAACACATTAGGAATTTGTCCTTGTAGTGCTGCGCATTGAATAGTAAACATGGTGTACTCAGCAGTGCTAGGCGTGAAGTCTTTTCAGTTTTAGTTGCCAATGTAAACTGGTCATTATACACAGGCTTATAGCTCATCAAACTTGGTCAAAAAGTGAAAATAATCAAAACTTTTAATGTGACACATTAGAAATTTCTAAAACCATAATTTCAGAAATGTAATAGCAACCTATATGTCAAAATTGAGATAGGGTCTGATTAAACCAAATGTTTTTTATAACGGTTTTTAAGGATATTAAATACAATGGTACTATCATCTTAAACATCAGTTGTAATTTGATTGGCATAGAATTGGAGGAATCTTGTCCAGACAACCATACATTAACTTGTGAACCAATATCAGTTACACAGGAACATTGGAAATGATGGGTAGCTGGGTGTCGTAATTAGCCATAAGCTGACTGTTTAGTTAATTCTGTTTTGCCATCATGATCAAAGTTGTGTGTATAAGAAACCAGACACATTGTTATAAAACTGACTTTTTGAAACTTGATTCACTTATGACTGTAGTTTCTACAAAACTGTAAAATATTATAGGCAGAGTCACTAGCTGGTCATTCTGCAGAGTGTAAAAAGACAGACCTTCCATTTAATGTGTGTACCTATTTTACATGATTTTGTCCTTATTACCACCACAATCCACAGAAAATTATATATTGACAGTTGAAATTACTTCAGTTTTAATGATCAGTTCTTTCAAGCCAAAAGAAATCTCCAAGGTTAACAAAAAGTAATATAAAATATGATTGGTGAGAACAAAATCATAGAAAGGTTTAGAACTTAGTCAGTGGCAGTTGTTTTTTTAGAGAAAAATAAACAATGAAAATAGTAGGTAAATAGGTAATTTTTCAAATAGAAATAAAAAAAATGAATAGCTAGTGATTGTTATAATTTTTTTTGAAGGTGGGAATCAATCCAGGCTTAATGGCAGCTTACATAGGACATCACTATGCGGGTCCAGGAAATCACTTTTGTAAGTAGACATCTAATGATCAAATCAAATTGCAGCTTGTTAGGCATAGTATGTATAAGTGTGGTGTATATATCAGCTCTGACCTTGATAATTCTTAAGATACTATATATTTGTCAGATTGGTAACAGACCCAATACATATGTAACCATGTAGACTTTTTACCCTTGCGTCTCTGACATCTGTTAATCATGATTCTGAACAGACAAATGATTGTCACGTGGGTCAATTACAGTTAAAATATACCGTTATGTTAGATGTCTTAAAAATATTTACTAGATTCCTTATAACTACTCTGCTGGAGAACATCTTGCATGTTTCTATTAGTTGAAAGGACTGATAATTAATACATTATTTGATAATTATTTTTTCCAGGGAAATGTATGTACCTCTCCGGCCTTATTCCAGAGCCACTCACTGCATATGATGACAATAAACTCCTCAAATACGGAATAGGCTTTACAAATATAGTTGCTAGAACGACCAGAGGAAGTGCAGATCTGACAAGGTTGGTTAGAAATTTGAACAGAAAACTGTTGTATAAACTTAATCTACCTTAGATGTTTAACTATATCCTGGCTTGACCCTCTGTCAATGAGGATAAAGTTTGCTGCCATATCTTCTGGGTTATAAGCCACACTGGTATATAAGCTGCAGAGCTGATTGTTGACAAATTTTTCTATTTGAGCCACATATAAGCCACACCCTTTCTTACAGTATGGTGACCACTATTGTTGATGTTTGATATACCGGCAGTTCTTACGAAGTGGTAACTATTAAGTTGACCAAAGTTTGTTGATATAACAGACAGTTTAGGGCAATTTATCAAGATTATCAGTGAAACATTGAATAAATGAATTATACACGGTTAATGCTTTATTTATTAATCTAGTTAAAAAAAATGTAAAATGGCAAATATCAAACACACAGATATAGGGCCTGTGTTATGTAGGGTATACTAAACAACCCCTCCATTGGTGTCTGTACTGTTAAATATTAATCTCTTACATGCTGAACATTCTAATATTACAATATTATTTCTTCTTGTAAGTTACACGAAGTCATTCATATTGTAAACAAGTGTGGTGCCTCTAGAATTTGACCTATAACCTGATAACCTATTGATCACAGATGTAAAAAGGCTATTGTAAATTTAGCTTCAAAGTAGTTGCGAAAATCCAGAAGAATAAGTATTATTGTTATTCATGTTTTCTGAAATCCTCTACAATAATGGCAGGCAATAAATATATTTTCTTTTCTTATTGTTTTAATTGTTGCTGCTTAGTGATATTTAAAATACACTTCATATTGGCATTTTGTTCTGATAAATCATTGTATTGTAGTTGACTTTTATATTCATTTTATGAAGTCACCATCGAATATTACTAACAGGAAGTGAGTCACATAAAAGATGATGAAATTGAAGGATATATAGCATGATGCAAATTGTATTGGAGTTAAGATGTATCGTTACATCACTAGTAATAAATTGATCCTTTTATTTCAGAAAAGAAATCAAAGAAGGGGCGAAATTTTTATCAGAGAAACTCAACAAATACAAACCAAAAATAGCTGTCTTTAATGGAAAGGGTAAGTGTTTATAAATAAATTATACTTATTGTTGATAAACTGTTGCATGTAACATTGACAACAATCAAACCTATGTAAAACTATACAGTCAAGTTAAAAGTTGGCATAATAGATTTTAATAAAAAAATGTAGATATTATCTTATTGACCAACATTGCTATATAGGGGTATAAGGGGCTGCCAAATATCACTATATGTAGTTCATTGCATTGGCATTCGTGCTAAGGCAAATGATGGCTTCTGATTGGTTGAAATTTAGACATTGCCCGATTTTGACAAAATGTGGTTTATATGGACATTAGGAGCTTCCAAACGTCACTGTATATGTTTTAATGTAATGACAACTATGCAATTGTCTGATCTTTACCTAATTTTGTAAATAGAGGTATTAGGGAATGCCAAAAAAAAAAAAAAAACAATATTCAACTGTTTTTTTAATAAGTTTTGAACAAATATGATTTTATGAACTAAGAGGGGTATTGCTCAGTATGACAGTTCAAGATGTTCTGTATGTAATGTAATTCATATTATTTAAATCACTATATAAAGGCTTCGTGTGTATAAAGGTTTATTACTTTGGTTAATTCTTTGTATGATGACAACAGGGAAGTTAATACTGCCTAAACCCACATATACTGCCTTGCTATATATATGATAAGTGATAGGATATGACACCTCACTGATAATGTGAATTTTTTTTCTAAACACAAACATATATTACAATACATATAACATCTTCATTGTGTGTCAGACTGTGACTACCTGACATCAAACGTTTGTGGTTGGTAATTACAATTTCCTTAATATCCAAAGAGGGAAAGGTTGAGGATTTTCTTCAGACTGGTATAAAGTTCGTCTTGGCCATCGTCTCAACTTATCATATGCTCTTGACTAAATTTTGATATATGTACATGGATATAACCAGGTTTTTTTCACTGTTTTCTATGTTTTTGCCATGTGATTGCATAATGAATTTTAATATAGACATAAAAAGAATATGTATTCTGTAGGTTCTGCTCTTTATGGCTGAAATATAGCGATGCTGAAATTGTGAATTTTTGTGGTTTTGACATAAAAATAATCAAATTTGTGTATGTCGACAACCCCTTTATATAAGGTTTATAACTCACCAGGATATTGCCCAAGTATGTCTGAAGCAATTTTTATTAATGATGAGTCTGTTTTCTGTTCAACCAAAAGTTTGAGACCCAGTATGTAAATTATTTCAGAAATTCATTGTCATATTTGAAATTCTTTTAAATGACTAAATAGCTTAATTAGCCAGGTGAGTGATGCAGGCCCCTTGGGCCTCTGATAGTGTGTATAGAAATCTTAATGTGGTGCACCCTTTCCAATTGCCAATGGCTATTTCCCACTTGAACTGCTTGTATGTTTAAATGAATTTAATATTCGTTGTAATTGAATGAAGAAATGACTTTGTTTTAGGTATTTATGAAGTATTTGTGGGACACAAGAATTTTGCAATAGGAAAGCAACCAGAACCTTTGGAGGGCACTGAAACGGTAATTATACAATCTGTTGTTACAGGGATAACCTACCTAACACCCCAGATAACAGTATAAATAGGAGGCAACTATAATTTGTAAGAACTGTTTATAGTAGTACCAAAATCTACAGTGAAATGTCGTCAGAAGTAAAATTGTCTTCATTGTACAAGTTTTTACTGCTGTGTTATCTTGTGATCATTCACATTTGTGATACATAGTTCTAGTTATTGGGCAAAATTTTCATGATTTTCTTTTAAAATGATCAAATCCTATTTTAAAGAATTTAAACTTCACAATCTGGATGTGAAAGGATATCTAATACCCATGAGTCTCATTACTTCACAGGATCAAATTTTCGAGATCCTGTTAATGTACAGTAAAATAGCAAAAAAGTGTGAAAATTTTGACCCCTCGAATTTAACTGGCAATGCAGTCTCTTGTTCTTTCTTATTTCTTACTTACTTCTATTAATTAACATGTTAAGTATGTTTACACATGATAGGAAAATAAGAGCCTTATTTTGTAAAAAAAAAAAAAAAACCACTTGTACATATTGCTGTTCTGTAGATCATTAGCAAGTGTTATTTCACTACTCTTTGATAAGCCCTGACCTGTCAAAAGTAATGTGCTGGACTGCTGGGCTTATACATTTACTTCTTCTTTACAGATTGTGTATGTGATGCCCTCTTCCAGTGCTCGTTGTTCACAACTACCTAGAGCTGTTGACAAAGTGCCATTTTACGCAGCACTGAAGAAACTGCGGGACCATTGTCGTGGAGACTTAAAAGAACTGGATGACTCAGAGGTATGTTTCCCTGACCTAGAGCTGAAAGTCATCAAAAAGGAAGACCGGCTGAAGGCAGAAGGCTACCCTGATGAAGACAACAAGGGACAAATTAACTTTGATAATGGCGGTGTGCCAGGTCACTTCACAAATAACCAGCCAATGAATGGGGCTGTAGGTCCCACAGGTTTAAATCACCCTGGAAACTTTATGTCCATCAAGCAGGAAGCTCCTTACAACTCACAAGATTATGGGAACAACAGCAACATGTTCCAACAACAGATGCCTGTGATAAGTTTTCCATGCCCTTCATATCCAATTTCCAGTATGGCATTTTCAGGAGGAGGTAACTCCCATCCCCATGGACCTCAAGGAATGGTTCCTTTACCAACAACAACATATCCCTCCTCCCAGGTTGGGCCATCAATGTTTGGAGGACAGGGGTCTCAGGGACCTCATCCATCACATTTTCCTACTAGTCAGGGTTCTTACATTCCATCAGTAAACTGTCATGGCAACTCCCAACAAGGTCAAAGCCAATTTTTGCCTCCTGGTCAAGGTCAGAGTCCAACAAACATGTTTTCATCCCAGGGTCCATCACAAAATCTACCTCAACATGTGGACCTGACTGTCCAAGGATCTTTCCAATCTGCGGGAGTGCGCATGTCGAACACCATGCATAGCTGGCCTGGTGTGCCTGCTCAGTCTTGTGGACAATCACCTCAGATACAACAGGGATTTGATCATATGCAAAATCCTGTGTTCATCAAGTCAGAACCACAAGAGTTTGGGTCTTCATCATCGTCATCCACTTGTCCTTTTCAAAACGCAGGTTAAGTAATTTAAATATTGTAGTCAAGTGTCAATGTATGTGTTCATTATAGTGACAATATTATAGTATTTTGTACGCTGTATTAAATGTCTTCTTAGTAGTCTGCAATAATTTCTGTTATTCAAGTCACCATTATGATAATCATATACAGTATATATTCTTCAAAATGTCATTGTCTCAGATATTCAAACTGTATAGCAAATCTGTTGAAAGTCATTTTCTTAAACTAAATGTTTAGTCCTTTATTGAAGAAAATTAAGAGAGCTCTGGTTGTATGTCCAATGAGATTAGGGTTCGGGACGAATGAAATTATCTGGAAGTTATGTTCCTGTAATATAAACATTAGAATACCTGTATTAAATCATAATAAAAGTCCTGCAGAATTAAAGATAGTACATGTCATTGTCAGAATAGCATGTCATATAATTATTGAAAGAACAAATTGCTGTAAATGTACTTAGTTTCATTGAAACAATCAGCATGCAAAGAAACTGCTATTAGCAGAGTCATGCTTTAGCACAATACTAATAGCACAATAGAATACTAAAATGAGATAACCATTAAAAGATGTATGTTTACAGTGTTATGTCAATTGACAGTCTCACGATGGAATGAATTTTCAAATGTTGAAGGTATATGATATTATAATGCTTGTAATACTATATAGAAATTTATGAAAGAGCCAAAACATTTACATATGTTCTTTAATAATCGGTTACTTATGCATTTTGAATAGTATTACTTAGCACATGAGGGTGAATCATGATTGTTACAATGTAACAAAACATAATTCTGTTAAATTAGAAATGTCACTGTGGTCATTACTAATGTATATAATTAATATGTTAAAATGAAATGGATACAATTAAAGTTTTATTTCTCAAAAACAATTAGTACATAATGCCTTATAGTTAAAGATGTGTAGTATTACTGGTATATAGGTCACAATAGATATTGCATGATGAAATTAAACTTAGACTGGTATTAAGCCCCTTGATAAACGTCGTGCTGTCAAATTTTCATTTATTTATTTATCAGCTGATTTTATGTATTTATTAATGTGAAGAATACCATCAGTTGATGAATAATGAAAATTAGATAGTGAAAGATGGTCATAAAGTCTGCATATTTGGTCACATTAAAACAATGTAGGAGTAAAACCGAAAATTGACAGTGTGAGCACACAATAGACATTTACATATCGTATTTTTTTTCTCATTTCATATGAAGAAGAGTAACTATTTGAAATAATAATACAGGCTGATCTCTAGTCGAAGAACCTCCTAATTTCTGAATTCCTATAACTGCTTTAGAGCTGTACATGACTGTTTAGTTGTACATGACTATATAGTTGTACATTACAGCTGTACGTGACTATATAAGTGTACATGGCATTATAGTTGTACATTACAGCTGTACATTACAGCTGTACATGACTATATAGTTGTACATTACAGCTGTACATGACTATATAGTTGTACATGGCGTTATAGTTGTACATTACAGCTGTACATGACTATATAGTTGTACATTACAGCTGTACATGACTATATAGTTGTACATGGCGTTATAGTTGTACATTACAGCTGTACATGACTATATAGTTGTACATGGCGTTATAGTTGTACATTACAGCTGTACGTGACTATAAAACTGTACATGACGTTATAGTTGTACATTACAGCTGTATGTGACTATAAATCTGTACATGGCGTTATAGTTGTACATTACAGCTGTACGTGACTATAAATCTGTACATGGCGTTACAGTTGTATATTACAGCTGTACGTGACTATAAAACTGTACATGACTATATAGTTGTACATTACAGCTGTACGTGACTATAAATCTGTACATGGCATTACAGTTGTACATTACAGCTGTACGTGACTATAAATCTGTACATGACTATCCAGTTGCACATGGCGATATAGATGTAGACATTATTTTTTCAAATGTAGAATAGCTTATAAGATCAGCTTCCATTTTGTAAAATAATAATGATTAATCTTATGATTTGTCAGCCATTTAATATCCATTGATTTATAAATATATATTATCTATCCAAATGTGTTGATATTGTGAAGTGATGTTGATTTTCACTTATTTAAAGATGCTTCCAAATTATTGCATTATCCCAATATTCACTAGTGTTCAGATATTACTGTATAAATATTATGTATCATGTACATAATGGCTTAAGCAATACACTAATTATACAAAATGTGTAATGTTTGTGTATACTTAGTATTAATATATATTTGATATTGCTATTTCTGCTGTGTATGTTTGAAAATTGATGAGTATGCATGTGACAGGATGTTAGATATTTGAGTGGAGAAACGTTTTATAATATCAGTTGATGTTTCCTGATTTCCGTTAAATATCTAAATGTGAATTTGAATATTGTTTTCTTCTTTGAAGATTCTGTCAAATTGGTGAACAGATGATTCAGTTAAAACAGTTAAACATTGTAGATCTGAATATAAGAACTTTTGCCTCAGATGAATATTTCATCAGATTGCAGGTTCCATTGCATAATTGTATTTAAACAAAAGAAAATAACAAAAGTTTTTCTGTTTAAGGTTTTATGAATTTGTGAAATATATACGCTATGAAGAGTTATGTCCCCTTAGAATAAACCTAAATTATTAAGAGAAACACCTGACACAAAAATGGGACTGAGACTACCTTCACTCCTGGAATATGGTTGTTTCATTGTGAGAGAACTGAATTGTTTATTGATAATGTTGATGATTGTTGTTGAATTCATGCATTGTGAAATTGTGTACACTGATTTTATAAAAAGGCACCTGAGAATTACATATGTAGTTACAGTTAAGGAAAGATGGATAGGATTAACCTTTTTTAGGTCACCATTGCGATCACCTTTTGTGTGGCATCATGTGTCATTAACTTTGAATATTTTTTACTTCACTTGAAAACCCCTGAACATTTTTTTACTTCTTCTTGAAAACCCCTGAACTGATTTCAGTGAAATTTTGCAGAACCTTCCATGGCCAAAGGCACACCAAAGTTGTCAGTTATACCAGTTACCATCCGAGGGGCTGGGCAAAGAAAGGTCAAATTAATTTAAACTTTAAAACTCTTCTTCTCAATACTCGGGTATGGTGGGATCGAATACAAAAATGTGCTCTTCATGGATGGAAAGGCCTTCAGATGCTTTACTAAAATTGTAAATTTCATTACCTCAGAGTCTCATATTTTGTCTCGGGGAAGGGGTTATATTTACTATAAATAACATTTTTGAAAATATTTGTTTATTTTCTATTGGAAATAGTTCAAACTTGGTAAGAATTGTTTCTTTAAGAAGACAGTTCAATAATATTACATATTAACCCTGGCTGACTGCCTAAGGACTGACGGGCGTAGTAAAAAATGGGTCAAATTGACTGTAATTTCCAAATATCTTCCCAAAATATATTTAAGGTAGAACCAAACACTCTTTTTGGATGAAAGTGTCTTAAGATACTTTGTTGATTTTCTATTGGAAGTAGTTTAAATTTGATAAGAATTATTAGTATTAGATGAGTTTGATGCTAGGCACATATTGATCCTGGCTGACCCCCATGGGCTGGATGGGCTTGGTCAAAGGGGGTCAGATTGACTCCCATTTTTCAAAGGTCTTCTCAATACCCAGAAATATTAGACTCTATCAAAGGATTGAACAGCTGTTAATGTTTACACAGTTTACATTTTGTGTACATTGTTTGTTAAGGCCTTTGGGTCTCTTGTTTCAGTAGAAATGACATTCCTCTGGTGCAAAAAGGTACAATGATATTCTAAACAGATCAAGGTAGGCCTATATGTATATAGACTTGTGTGACTAATTCTCAGGTCCCTGTAATTTTACACTGTTTCTATGTTTATTTGTGATGCAGTTTTGATACCAAAGATCTGTGGATATATGATTATAAAGGTTTATTCACATCTCAGGAAAGTTGCATTATTTCTTTACTTAACTGCCAGTTTACATACCTAACATATACCAGAGACCTCTATTATAATGGTTGTAATATTTAAAGGCAGCATATCATGTAACTGGAAAAAATCAGCATGTGTTCAGCTTTTTACTCTTTATCACTTTGTATATCACTTCAGAGAATCCCTAATACTATGGTAGTGTGTTACAGTGATTCCAGAAAAAATATCTACATCCCACCCCAGGATTCCAGGTTTGTTTAGGGCTATTCCAGTAAAACATCTACATCCCACCCCAGGATTCCAGGTTTGTTTAGGGCTATTCCAGTAAAACATCTACATCCCACCCCAGGATTCCAGATTTGTTTAGGGCTATTCCAGTAAAACATCTACATCCCACCCCAGGATTCCAGGTTTTGTTTAGGGCTATTCCAGTCAAACATCTACATCCCACCCCAGGATTCCAGGTTTGTTTAGGGCTATTCCAGTCAAACATTTATCTCATCCCAGGACCTAAGATGTTGTTTATGGGTTCCACACATGGAATTTGATTGATTACTTTTCTTAGAAGTAATAGGCAGGAAAGGAAGTCATGAATAGAAGTGGTTTAGTCTGGAGTCTAGGGTCAAGTTGGTATGCTTACCCTAATGGGTCAACTGATGGTGTTAAGAGGAAAAGACAAACCAAATAGTATTAGGGAATCTCACCTTTCATTTTCATCTAACATCCATGTAATCTGTGTAATCCCTTGTTGTACCAGTTTTAGTGATTAGGGTAATGAGATCAACTGTCTGGCCTACATAATCTTCATCAAGAAATGATCAGTTTTTAGTGGTATATGTACTTGTCATGGTTCTGATGGTAGGTTACTTATGATTGGTAAGATGTAAATTAATTGGTTTTAACATTTCATATCTAAATACCTCACACTAAAACTGTCTCCATGTCAAGTTGAATTCACCATTGAAATCATGTCGTAATATGTTATGTGCATTTAATTCTTCTATATTATCGTCTGATTTGTGAAAATGAAATGCGAGTTAGAGTTTATCATTGCTTTCTCGTTCCTTTTGTGTCAGATTTAGTGCAATGTTGATAATTGTTTTACATTTTCATTGTTTTCCATTTTTGGCACATTTTACTTCATAATGCTTATTTATAGGACATCTTCCTGAAGCACTTTGTTATACAATGTATCACTGTATTCAACAATCTTCATGTAGCTTTTTGTTATACAATGTTACACTGTATGGTCATCATTATACTCTTTAATTTATTTCTATTTTTATAAAAACAAAATATATATATATATGTATATGGTTTGATTTTTATACTATTAGAAATTAAAACAGGATTTTTAATTATAGTGCCTATATAAAGAAACAATTTTTGGGCAAACTTTTATATTTAGTTAATGTATTTACTTATTTCTTTATTTAATTTTGTAATTATTTGATTATTGTGTAATATTTCTATGTTGGAATGAATAAATTAATCTGAAACACCACCATCTATTTAATTATTGTATTTTGTTGAAAGTATTATGTGTTTTGCTGAAAGTGAGAGTTGATATTAATAAAATAACTGAGGTGACTTCAGTTCTTTCTGTAAATGAACCCCTGAAAACTAAAACTCAAGCCATTGGTAGGAATGATTGGATTTTGCCCAAATTTGTTCTGAAGCAATGTTGGGCGAGGAGGAATCAATTTAATATAACCAGTAAGTCTTTGGACCACTGGAGCTAGATCCAATAGGGGAAATATCCAAACAGGTATTAAGTTGAGGGGTTGCTGGGACGAAACTAACAAGGTTTGAGTAAAGAAATGACCTTCAAGGTCACAGAGTTTGAATTTGTTTAAACCTTGAAACACCTTTCGACTAAGGTGCAGAAGCATGGTATTTTACTGACAGGTTCCTAGAATGAAGCCTGACAAAATTTGTGAAAGGAAATGACCTTGACCCATGTTCATGGTCACAGGGGTCAAATTTGTTAAAACCTGAAAACAACTTCTTCTGAATAACTAAAAGGCACAGAAGCATTCTATTTGGCTGATAGGTTCCTAGGATGAAGTCTGACAATGTTTGCACAAAAGAAAAGACACTGAACTCAAGGTCACAGGGGTCAAATTGGCAATACCTGTGAAAGACTTTCTAATAAAGTCCAAAAGCAGAATATTTGGTGGAAAAGTTTTTCTAGGTCAAAGATTGACAAATTTTGAGAAAAAATGAAATGGCATTTACGTATAATCCAGGTCATAACTGATTAGAGTTTAGTGTTAAAAGCTGTTGTAGACATTGGTCAAAATTGATCAGTTGTGCTGACTGTGAATACCAACATATTTGTGATAAACACCAATTCTAGTTTTGATGAAAATACCAGGTGAGTGATACAAGCCCATTCACTTGTTTTTTTGTTTTTCTTAACATACACATTTTTTAGAATATGCTAAATCACCAAAGTCGAGTCTTAACAAGTGGCCCAATGGGCCTGCATTGCATCCTCCCCATCCATCATCCAAATTTATCTATCCAGCCATTAATTAATAAAATTTTCAAATATCAACGATTTCTGATAAAAACTCTATTTGGTCCCAGCCTTGTGGTCAAACAGAAGAAGGAATCTTAAATTTGGGTCCCCACCCCTCCTGCCCCAGGGGCCCAGGATGAACTGTTTTTACAAAAATGGCTCACCTTCACTGAAGAATACTTTTTGCAAAATTTGTGCATAATTAGAGGAGTTTGATTTTAAAGAAAATGGTAGGTTCTGTTGATGAAAAACAGTTGTACAATCTTGTTATAAAATGGCTACTGTGGTAAACAAGTTTTGATCAAGGCTGGAAAATAAGAAGTCATCTTTCTTTTCTTTAACAAATCAAAATCCAAATATTTTTTGGATAGTGTAAATCAGAATCAGAAAAATGTGAAAAAATAAGATTTGGTTCTGACAATCTCAGCATCACTTCAAGCAAGTTTGATAACATTGCCACTTCCTTAAAATGTTTGTCCAAATCTGCTTAAAATCTATCCAAGCATAAAGAAGAGTATCTTTTTGGAGCAAGATATTGCCAAAGTTCCATTTTTGGGATCCCTCCCCCAAGTCCCAAGAAATCGCAACAACTTTCTGAATAAAAGATCGGATATCAAACTTGCAATAATATTACAGACCAAATTTGGCTGAAATCTACCCACACATTAAGATGGACAAGAGATTTGAAGCAGAATTTCAGCTAAATTCCCCATTTGGTGCCGTGCTCCTCTTGATCCCCAAGGATGGAAACAAAATTCTGAATTTAAGAAATGACTGCCTACCCCAACTGATGAATTGGGCTAAACTTGTTGAAATCCATGCAGGCATGAAGGAGTAGTGTTTTGAAGCAAAACCTTGGATAACTTCCCCCTTTGGGCCGCCCGCCCCCCTCGGATCACTTCCCCCTTTGAGCCCCACCCCACCCCAAGTTGAATTCCAGGGTAAATTTCAAAGCACTTTAATTTCCGGTCATTATGTCATGTCATTCATATTGAGGGTACCGGATGTGAAATGGGACATTCTGGTGACAGAGAGTTAGGACTGCAATGGGTTTAGTTAGGAGAGAGAGCGACTTAGTTTGAAACCTATTGACAAAGTGCAGTGACCAATCACTGCTGCAGATCTAAATTCAAGAGTGTACTTAGTGAGCTAGGGGACAAAACACTCCATGGTTGAAGGCCCTGATTAGGGACGGTTGACATTAAAGTGACAGTTACAAAGCAGCTGTACATTACTTAATCTGTACATCCCTTGTATGTAGTAAATTTATACTACTGTGATTAACACACGAAAAAACAAGCTGATAAAATCAATAACCCTGAAGTACTTCCAAGTTTTTTTTGCTTTAATTAATATGTCCATACTTGAAGTCAGCAATAATAAATATTGTTGCTCCATGACAGAAAAAAATCTGCAAATATGCTGGAATCCATCATTATCTGTAAACATGCAGTAATCCATCATTATCTGTAAATATATTCTTAAGATTAAATGTACAATGTATTATGTTGATCATTCTAGCAAAGAAAAATAAGGTGTACAAAACTTCAAATGTCCAAATTCAAAAAGACTTCTGGCATCCTATCTGAAAACAGGGGCTAAACTTTGTTAACAAAAAACAATGGTGTATAGTGCAACTTAAACTATGTAGAATTCTTAACTCATTCAGATTTCAATGAAGGAAGATTGCAGTGAGATATTCTGGTGTTGTTGGAGACATTTATTCCAATAACAACACTGTAGGGAGATTTACCCTATAGAAAGACTTGGGTGTTGTGCATGCTCATTATTTAAGTACCTAATGTAGGTTACATCATCAGAAGTATAAACCTGCTCAGAAATTATTTCAATAGTCCAATGAGTTACTGAGCACAATTTACACATTTGAACAGTCTCTCCACTACTTAATCTAACATTGTACAGGGTGTTCATTCTTTTACTGATTTACAACAAAGTTGATCGATAGTTAATCTTATACATGAAAATTGCCCTGGTTATTTGTAAATAGATTTTGGCATCAACAACAGCAGAAATAACTGTACAAATGGCGACCAAAAATGTTGCATATACATGTATATATTTATTGATAACTAGACATTTCAATGTGTTTAAACACATAACTAGTAACATATCAAATACTTCATTTCTCAGTTATTGTCATTCTTAGACTAGTTTATCCTAAACATTGTACATTTCTAATTTGGACAGATTTTGAAATTAAAATACAGTATTCAACATCAAGTCAGTTCAGATACAGATAATGAAAGTAAACAGCATTTCATTGGTACTGAGATCAGTACTGGATGCGTGGATATACAAATAAGGCACATGTTAGAATGTAATTCATTACTGAAAATGTGTTCAAGATGACAAAGAAATTCAACAGAAATGTAAGAAAAATTCAGTAAAGTACACAAACAAGACCTATTGTTTTTGGCATGACAAAGTGAAAAAAAGAAGAGCACAACAATTTAATGAGAAAAATCCTTCGGTAAATATTGTCACTCACTACCATTAATAACTGTATTTATTCAGCAATAAATCCATGATTAGAAGCAAGTCCACAGACAACTTGTGCAGTTTTACTAGAAATGAGGTGAAAGACATCTCTATTGCCTGTAATCAGCCCACTTCCAGTTTTCAGTCAGATATCGTGTGTTCACCTCCTGGACTTTATGTAAGATAAACACCATTTGACTGTAAAAAGGACCTGGTGTGTGTTTCAAATACATAAATTGTACCTGAAAAGTGTCTGAAAGGGCACAACATCCTAGATACTGACTACATGTGTATATAGCTCCTTCTACATTGTTTTACTATGTGTAAAGAACAAATAATTTTGGCAAATATAAAATTTCACCCTGGTTCATATTGTTTTATAAGTATCGTCACAAACATCAGCTTGTTTCCACTGTTAAATACTAGATGAGAATTAATTTCAGCATAAAAGGAGTTATGTTGACACTATTCTCTCAAGTGACATCATTAATGTTCTTTCCACAAAAAATTTTTTTAAAAATACCATTAACTTAAATCAATGGTCAAACATCAGTGGTCATTGATATAAATTTAATGGTAATGAAAACCTCCATCAGATTAATGACATATTCATGAAACATTTTTAATAGTATTTTATAATGGATAATAAAATGAATCATTTCGATGGTCATCAGAGCTTTTTCATAAGAAATCAAAGGAGTTGACTTGAAGGTGTATGACTTACAAATGAGAGTGGTATCTAGTACCATGATACAAACATGTTCATTTCTTAAAACAAGAGGTCCATAGGGCCTGTTTCACTCACCTGACTTTGCTAGGCTGAACTTGCTTCATTAAAACCAAAGGAAAAAGAATTCTAATCTAAAATATCCCAGCACACAACACATAACATATCTATTTTCCCATTTTACCCCAAAATCCAGACCAAACATAGATACAATCCTCCCATGCCTCAAGATGAAGTATTTATTCTAATTCCCTGGGTCCTCGCCTTCCTACCCCAAGGTGTTGAGACACATCATTTACCAATTGATTCCCCACTACTCAACAATGTTTCAGGCCAAATATGGGCAGAATCCAGTCGTATCGGAGAAGTAGGATTTTCAAGAATTCATTCCATTTCCTCTAGTGAGCCCCGCCCCTCCCATCCACAGGTTAAAAATCTATACAAAATCGAAGGAATGCTTCCAGCAAAACCCAGTGATTCCTACTGGAGAAGTAGGATTTTAAAGAATTTGCTCTATTTCACCTATTGGGTCCTTTCGTTCTCGCCTTAGGGTGCCAAGACCAACCTTTTATACAAAATTGATTACCCTTCACCCAAAAATACTTCAGACCAAATATAGGCAAAGTCCAATCATTTCTTTAGGTGAAGTAGGATTTTAAAGAGTTTGCTCAGTTCCCTTTTTTGGGCCCTACAAATCAGGCCCCGAAAGGCCGGGACCCAAGGTTTATACAAAATTTGCTTTCTTTTTCCTAAGAATGCTTCTGACCAAATTTGGTCAAAATCCGCTTAGTAGTTCATGACTAGTAGGGATTTGTAGAGAATGATGGACATATGGATGGACGACAGACACCAACAGTATGGCATATGCTGCTCACTCGGCTTTTAGACCAGACTATCCAAAATATTTCGTAAACAATTCTTCACGTTAACTATTTTTCATTTCATGTACATATTGAAAAAAAGTAGTAGAAATACATTCTAATTGAGTAGATAAATAACAAGATATATAAACAATTACATAGTCCCCTCACAACAATAAATTTAGTGTCTCCATGTGTAATACATTCCTTAGAATAAACTTTCAGAATAAACCTTAAGACTATCTTTCAAAAATGAAACAGAAAGTATCTCATTGTTGCAGCATATGCATACAAGCTAAACAAAATGTAAAGTAAGAAAACTGAGTCGATACATTTAAAACCAACATTGTAATGTTAACACATTACACAACCAAGGATTTGTCAACAATGACATAACAAACTAGATTTTATAATGCTTCATCGTGTATTAGATCTGAACAAGACTTGAACCAGTTATCAAGAATCAATAAATCTGTACAAAACTTGACCAATTATTAGATTCCCACTAATTCAAATCTAGATCTTTATAATATAACTATAGATTGTATTCAGGTGATTACTAAATCTCATTGATCTGATTCTAATCACAAAAAATCTGACAATTATCAAAATGCTGACAAAATAAAAACTACAAATGTCCCTTTACATCTTTACCAATTATTGCTCTTTTTGAAGTGCATTTTTTTATTCATTGTAGGAGCATGCTGGTCCTTAATGACCAGGTGACCCAATACTAAATCAGACCTTCTCTCACACAGCTTTCTCATATATGTATACAACTTCTCCCTTTACCATAGTACAAAAATACATCATTCTTATAAGAACTGTCTAACTTGTTAATGTGTCATGCTAATTATCCAGTATATACAGGAAGTGGTTTTACCATGACAAGTTTAGTTTTAATCATGTGATATGTAACACTACATAAACTAGATATTGTGTATAAGAAATGTATGTTCCACTCCTATGCAAACAAGAATTTGATCAGCAGTAGAATTTGATGCTATGATATGGGAAACCACAAACAAAATCTGTTGAGAAATTCTCAAAATATGATATCAATTAAAAACAGGACAGGACACCAGCAGACAGGAGAGACACAGATTACACTAAAAAGAAGGCCCTATTAAAATGCAGGGCATAAAAACCACCAGGACAGCAATTATATCACAACTTACAACCAATACAGGCACAACTAGTCTAACTCAAATGCATTATCATCCTTTACCTGGTGTTTACCCCCCAAAAAAACCAACACTGTTATCTCCCCTGTACTGATGTCTACCAAAAACAGCAGTGTTGTCTTCCCTTGCCGGGCTGCTTTCACTTAACCCATACCATCTACCAAACAAGAGGCCGAATGGGCCTCCATCACTCACCTGATGTTCAGTGTTCATCAAAAATAGAATCGGAGTTAACATGTACACCATTGTCATTCAAAGAGGACGTATCAAATCAATTTCTACCAATCAACTAAATACCATACTTCTGTGTCTTTTGGTTAGTAAGAAGAAGTTGCTGTTAACAGATTTGACTCCTTTGACCTTGAATACGGTTCATAGTTATTTCTTTTCACAAGTTATGTTCAGTTTCCTTCCAGCAACCTACCAAAAATATACCATTTCATTTGGGTCACTGGTTATTGAGAAGCAATTGTTTAAATGGTAAAGTTGACACAGGACTGACAGATGACAGACAGTACACCATAGCATAACCCACATCACCCTTCAGTCAGTGAGCTAAAAATGACAAAGTGCTTGTTTAACAATGTGAACATCTAAACTGGCAAAAAAAAAAAAAAATCACAGCCAAACTATTTCTATTTAGTAATCATGAATATTTATCACAGGTCTCATCTATACTAAATCTGACATCAGCTTTGAGTAACGCGGATATCAGTACACCAGATGTTTCTTTTAATACAACATAAAACTTTAAGAACATATCGACATTCCTGGTTTAAAGTTACGGTAGAGCTATTATTCAAAACAGTAAACATCATGTATATAAACCTGTATACATCAGTTCAAGTCTGTATCAACAAACTATTTTGTACTGTTAATAATCTGTAATTCAGATGATGTTGAAGAACTAATTAACAGCATGGAATCATAACTTAAGATTTACCATTGCCAATTCTAAATAAATCTACCATTGCCAATTCTAAATAAATCTATGTGATTCCATTTTACTTATAAAACGCAGGAATGGCACAGAAGTCTCAAACCAGCAATTCCACTGAAATAATGTCTGGTCGCCTCCTTTTTTTCATTTTAAAGATTTCACAAGAATTGAAAAATTCCAAAAAAATCTGCTTATATGAGTCAAAAGCCTATTGTGATGTGATAAGAAATGTAGTTATATCAATTGAAGGTGTGTTCAAAATATTATGTCACCTAACTTTACAAACTAATAAGTTTGTACAATTTCTGAACTCTCTGCAATAGTTACCTCTGAGAAAAACTTTTTCAAATATGAATAGAAAAATAAATTCTAACACCAAATGCTATTAAACAGCTATTAAAAATTAATTCTGAAAATAATAAGATATGATAAACAATGTCATTGAGATTTAAATTTCCCCATCATAAGTTTTATTAATTCTCAGTTCATATTAAGATTTCTAAAATACAGGACTGGTACATGTGTTCATGAAATTATGTAAATTCAACAATCAGACAATCCCATTCACTACTTGAAAACTGGAAACAGAAATTCATGCTTTAATAGGTAAGTTAAATTTGATTGTCATCTTGAGTGTTTATTTTGGGACATGATCATTGGCGAGTGCAACTCTACATTACAAAGACAGAACAGCTGCATAAGGAAAACCATAGTAAGCTGCTTAAACTACAGTAAAAAGAGAGTTTTCTGATATTTTGCAATGAATATTTGGCACCAATTTTTCAATTTCATTATCGGTACTTTTTCATGTAAACAGAACAATGAATCATTCCAAATAAACTTATTAGGCAGTTTTTTAGGTACCTCATGCTACCCAGGGTAATACATTGTAGTACCCTTTGTTAAGTACACATGTGAGTAAATAATCATATGTACGGTATGTGAGGTAGTTTTAAAGCCTAATCAACTTCAGAACATATCAAATTCAAAACAAATACTTTAAGGTGCTTTGGAGACCATAAAGCTGATTTGACAAAGTGTGATAAATTTGAGATGTGATTAATATCTAATTAGTATGGTATTCGTTTGACCCCTCTGTAAGGACTAGCCCTCTGGGGTTATATAAAAGTTATAATATTAACAAAACTCGAAGTCTACCACAGATCTGTCTTTTGCTGAGTATAACACACAAATTAGGTTATACAAATGTCCAGTTGTCATCAGCTGTGTGTATAGGTACACAGATACATACTGGGTATATTGTAATTTGTACATGGAAATTTGGAGCTGGTCAGTCAGCTCCGTCAGCTGCCGGAGAACTCGGAGGAAACCTTTTGTATGAGCTGTATGAGCTGCTGCCGTTTGTTTTTCATCGTAGTACTGTTGACAGTGTCTGACAGAGACACACAGAAACCTTCACACAGTTCTTTACACTTGTGTTCCGCAGTCGCTATCACATATAGCCCACAGTCATATCCTATAAAATACAAAAGTTACAATACAGACAACAGTAATCATTAACTTCTGACATGTAACATATTTTGCTGCAAATAAGTATTATATATTTTTATGGTACCATACCATTTTAGAACCAAACCAAGGCCAAGGTGTCAAACCAAAACAAAACCTAGGCCAAGGTATCATACCAGAACCAAACCTAGGCCAAAGTATCAAACCAGAACCAAACCCAGGCCAAGGTATCATACCAGAACCAAACCCAGACCAAGGCATCAAACCAGAACCAAACCTAGGCCAAAGTATCAAATGAGAACCAAACCCAGGCCAAGGTATCAAACCAGAACCAAACCTAGGCCAAGGTGTCAAACCAAAACAAAACCCAGGCCAAGGTATCATACCAGAACCAAATCCAGGCCAAGGTATCAAACCAGAACCAAACCTAGGCCAAAGTATCAAACCAGAACCAAACCTAGGCCAAGGCATCAAACCAGAACCAAACCCAGGCCAAGGTATCAAACCAGAACCAAACCCAGGCCAAGGCATCAAACCAGAACCAAACCTAGGCCAAAGTATCAAACCAGAACCAAACCCAGGCCAAGGTGTCAAACCAGAACCAAACCCAGGCCAAGGTGTCAAACCAAAACCAAACCTAGGCCAAGGTATCAAACCAGAACCAAACCCAGGCCAAGGTGTCAAACCAGAACCAAACCTAGGCCAAGGTGTCAAACCAGAACCAAACCCAGGCCAAGGCATCAAACCAGAACCAAACCTAGGCCAAGGTATCAAACCAGAACCAAACCTAGGCCAAGGTATCATACCAGAACCAAATCCAGACTCATGTATCATACCAGAACCAAACCCAGACCAAGGCATCAAACCAGAACCAAACCTAGGCCAAAGTATCAAACCAGAACCAAACCCAGGCCAAGGTATCAAACCAGAACCAAACCTAGGCTCCAGTATCATACCAGAACCAAACGTAAGCCCAGGTATCAAACCAGAACCAAACCTAGACTCCAGTATCATACCAGAACCAAACCTTGGCTCATGTATCATACCAGAACCAAACCTAGGCCAAGGTATCATACCAGAACCAAACCCAGACTCATGTATCAAACCAGAACCAAACCCAGGCCAAGGTATCAAACCAGAACCAAACCTAGGCTCCAGTATCATACCAGAACCAAACCCAGGCTCCAGTATCATACCAGAATCATACCTTGGCTCCAATATCAAACCAGAACCAAACCTAGGCTCCAGTATCATACCAGAACCAAACCTAGGCCAAGGTATCATACCAGAACCAAACCCAGACTCCAGTATCATACCAGAACCAAACCTAGGCCAAGGTATCATACCAGAACCAAACCCAGACTCATGTATCAAACCAGAACCAAACCCAGGCCAAGGTATCAAACCAGAACCAAACCTAGGCTCAAGTATCAAACCAGAACCAAACCTAGGCTCCAGTATCATACCAGAACAAAATCTAGGCTCCAGTATCAAACCAGAACCAAACCTTAGCCCAGGTATCAAACCAGAATATACTGTTGAGGTTACTTGTAGCTTTGTTATCAAATACGTCATAATGACTTATACAGTTTTACCAAATCTTTAAGTCAACTATTAGTTTGACAATTCACCAAGGGAGACATGTATGCATATGGAAAACTGGAAAGTAAGACAACAGCTAAAGAGAACTTTGTTATATTCTGGAATAACTATGTGACAGTCAGGAAAATGAAGTGACATCTGATATATTTTGGTGTTAATTGTCTACATAACAGAATATGAAGCTAGCTTGTTGTCTTTTTTTCTCTTGCATTATAATTTTCCCCTGAGTTTTTTTTTTAAATTTTGAAGTCATAAGAGAAATGTAGTGACTTTTCAATTTTTTTTCAACATCATCAATTTTCACCTTCCCTCCCCCCTCTCCCTAGTATTTACAAAGGTTCATACTAATCGCTTGTACATGTAGTATACAGCAGTTCATCCTCACACCTTTCAGTATATATCAGGTTCATAAATAACACATTTATGAGTGTTATGAAGTGTAAATAATATGCACTTATATAAAATTTAACCACTTATATATATATATATATATATATATATTATTCTAAATTTTCTAATACATTGTATATTAAATTATCATCAATAAACATGATTATTTTTCTATCAATCATCTTTATTTACACTTAAACTAAGTCCTTGTAATAAGATTGTGCTTACCATTCTGTTGCTGAGGGCTATCTGCTTCAATAACTTTCATTCTCCCTCTAGGAGCTGCAAGGAAAGGATAAAAAAAGTATTATTTTTTGACATGTAATAATCTAGTATTTTTCAGCAGACTTTTAGCACTGCCTAGATGAAATCCTATACAATGCCTATATGTGTCCCTATGTTACCACAGTATGTGCTCTCAGAAACAATCAACTCGTAGACATAACTTTTTTTTTTTAATATATCAAAACATGCAATATTTGTACATTTATAACTAACAAACCATGTGTACTCAGTAGTGACCAGTTTTATTTGCTATTTTGTGGGACAGAAATCCTTAAATTTAATTCATCATGTGCATTCAGAAGCGATGAACGATTCACATTTGTTTTAAATATTGTGGACAGAATGTTTAATCAGTGCAGGTGCACTTTGTACATTCAAAACATCTTATAATGATAAGACTGCATAAGTATAGTCATCTAAGCTGTAACAGAGATCAATAACAACAAAGATTAAGGTAGGCATGTTAGAATAACAATGCTCCAAACTTCTGCTTACATTTGTGTACAATACATTCATTCATGTACAGGTAGCTGATTACATTTGTACACTGTTTCTGACATCTGAACTTCTCATATGTCAATGCCTCTATCGACAAGTGACACCCCAAGGTCACAACAAACTGCAGAGGTGGAGCACTAGATGTTATAATACATTGTGACTATTGATCACATTACAGAAATGTGTTGTTGACACTTCTTTACACTACATAAATAACAAGGACCATAATCCAAAGGACCACTGCCAACTAGGATATAATTTTGCCTTATTTGTATAACAGGCATTCTTACTAACATTACGTAACAAAGTCCAAGATCAAGGCTACTGAACCCTGTTCATCTTGTGTGGAGTATTTAAAAATGAAGAGAATTAGCACATGGGAGATTACCTCTCTCAATCCAATAGCTGCATAAAATCCTACAGTACTACTAAAATGCAGCCTAACTCACCTGAACTAACATGTGCAGTAGAGTGGACAAAATAAATGAGGTTACTGTAAAGTACAAAACACCTTGTTATGTGTCCCAGTCACTATTTGAACCTTTAAATGTCTCACTTCTCATATCTAATTCATAGTGTAAAAGGAAGAGGTAGGTGTGGCTTGTACATATTAGTAGAAAAAGCTGTCTCTGCCATGGAGCATGCTTCTATGGCTTAGGTAGTAGAGCCTTGGATTATCATGTCGGGAGACCCAGGGTGCCATTTCTGCACTCAAGCAGGAATGTCTTTTCCTTGTACTTTTATGTTGGTGCCCTATGTTGGAATTGAACATAAGTAAGATAACTTCTGCAAATAAGTGATTTAAACTTTCATCTTTACTGAGTAAATTTATCTATTTATGAATAAATTATTAAGACACCCTTTCTTACTAGTGGAATGAAGATTTACAATTTTTATGACACCATAATTCATGTACTGGCTTAAAAAGATCAAATATTTTTTCATCATATAGAATGAAATTAATTGTTAGCTGGGTATTTTAAGAATAGGAAATTTGTTCTTATTTCAGATTTTTTTGGCCCAAATTTTACAATTGCATATTGTACAAATAACGAAAATAATGTGTGCATTTGTGGTTAATGATGTGGGAACTGTATGTAAGTAACCTAATCTATATTTTTTGTTACAAATGATATATGCTTTTCAAGGAGAGATCTTAATGTATTTTGTCTGGATTGGTGGGCTTATAAAACATGTTACTCTTGTACAAACCACAGGCCTATAGAATATCATACTCTTGTACAAACCACAGGCTTATAGAACATGTTACTCTTGTACAAACCACAGCCTTATAGAACATCATACTCTTGTACAAACTACAGGCTTATAGAACATCATACTCTTGTACAAACCACAGGCTTATAGAACATGTTACTCTTGTACGAACCACAGCCTTATAGAACATCATACTCTTGTACAAACTACAGGCTTATAGAACATGTTACTCTTGTACAAACCACAGCCTTATAGAACATCATACTCTTGTACAAACCACAGCCTTATAGAACATCATACTCTTGTACAAACTACAGCCTTATAGAACATCATACTCTTGTACAAACTACAGGCTTATAGAACATCATACTCTTGTACAAACCACAGGCTTATAGAACATCATACTCTTGTACAAACCACAGGCTTATAGAACATCATACTCTTGTACAAACCACAGGCTTATAGAACATCATACTCTTGTACAAACCTCAGGCTTATAGAACATCATACTCTTGTACAAACCACAGGCTTATAGAACATCATACTCTTGTACAAACCACAGGCTTATAGAACATCATACTCTTGTACAAACCATAGGCTTATAGAAAATGTTACTCTTGTACAAACCACAGGCTTATAGAACATCATACTCTTGTACAAACCTCAGGCTTATAGAACATCATACTCTTGTACAAACCATAGGCTTATAGAAAATGTTACTCTTGTACAAACCACAGGCTTATAGAACATATAGAACATCATACTCTTGTACAAACCACAGGCTTATAGAACATCATACTCTTGTACAAACCACAGGCTTATAGAACATCATACTCTTGTACAACCCTTAGGCTTATAGAACATCATACTCTTGTACAAACCATAGGCTTATAGAAAATGTTACTCTTGTACAAACCACAGGCTTATAGAACATCATACTCTTGTACAAACCATTATTCTTGTACAAACCACAGGCTTATAGAACATGTTACTCTTGTACAAACCTGTACAAACCACAGGCTTATAGAACATGTTACAAACAAACCATGGGCGTATAGAAAATGCTATTCTTCTACAGACCACAGGTTTTTAGAACATGTACAAACCAGTACATATCACGGGCTTGTAAAACATGTTACCCTTGTACAAGCCTTGGTTACCGGTAGTTACAATTTGAGAAAGAATTTGTGGCTAGAATATTTGATAGTCATTCATGATCCAACTCCCCTTTTTATTTAAATCATTTAAAAGAAAAACAGAGATTGAGTTACTAGTAAGCAGTAAGCCATTCATAATGAACTGAGTGTTCATTTGGATTATCAGTAAAATGAAAATATATCACCATTTATTCTTTTTGTTCTGGGTTACCCCCCTTTCATAATCTTGTGTTCAATACCTAAGTCCAGGTAACCATTAAGGACTTGTATTAGGGGTATGTTGAGGGGTCATGTGTGTGTGTGTGTGTGTGCGTGCGTGCGTGTGTGTGTGTGTATCTAGACTTTTTGTTTATACTTCAAATCTAACTTTCTTTATATCTACATAAAATACTATCGTAGACCACAGTCAAAATTTTGTCCAGAGATACAATAAAAGCTGAATTTAAGTTGAGAATTTTTATGCCCAGAGAGATATTATCACTCGTCTGGTATCCGAGCCAGAATTGTCCACTATGCTGCAGCAGGTCAAGGATTGTAAAGGATAACATGTCCTCATGGACTCTTTTCAAATACACAGACAAAAGAAATTTTTTAAGAAACAACAATACCAAGGACATAGGGTTGTATCTTGTAGGCCAACTGCTTTGCTATTTCCTTGTTTGCACTCCCAGAGGAATCATAATGACGAAATTCCTGTCGACATCTGATGTACACCAGCAGGCTCCTGTAACAGATAGTGTTTCACTCTATATAAAATACTACAGCTTAAATGTAAGGTTAGGATAGAGCCTTTGAAAATGAGTTAATCTGACTACCAGATATAATATTTGTATATCGGTGGTGCATGGTATTGTGAAGCATGGTAAAATGAACAATAAAATTTAGGATGGAGCAAGGGCCTTCACTTTATCATTGATTTTTTTGGTGCTTGTATGAATTATAGTGGTTATTTGAATTAAGTGGTTATTTGAAAAACAAGTGAAAAAGTAGTTATTAGTAAGAAATTAGTAAAATGCTTTACTTTTTGTCATTTGTGTGTTAAGGTAAATGAGTGAAGGTAATTTAGAATCAAAGTACTGAAAGTACTGGTATGCTAAGACCATTAAAAAATAAATTCTTTGTTATTAGCTTGCTATATACTGAAACCAACTATATGCAATCAGTAAATCATTGCAGCCCATAAAAAATGACCAGCAGATATCAGAAATAACAAGCATAGTAGTATTACTTATGTAATACATGTCCCAAGTAGGCTCCAAGATGCAATGATAGGGAAGTTGTCCATTTCTTTGGATACATTGTACGGAATGTTGATCATGGACACCATATTAACACTTTAAAGACTGTGTATCCTATTGGTTTAAGACCATTAGTTAGACCATCATGCAAATAACATGCTACATACAAATATTGGACAGCTTCATTTTCCAGATTGTTTGTAAATGACTGCATAAGAGTGCCAATTTTCTAAAACAAACATGACTTGTCACCATAACTTAAAACAGAAGATGCCTATTCTTCCAGAAAACCTGGTCTTATTCTCCTTGTACTTTTTCTGGGAATCTTCAAGTAGATATTGACTTTGTTCCAATTTTTCATGTTTATATATTCTTTGTTCTCTAAAACTTGTCACAAGATATTTTATTCCTCTTGTATTATCATTTTTTTTAACATCCTTACAGTGACCTTGAACCTTGAAATTTACAAGATGTGAATATCTTTTAGGTTGTGAAATTTGATAGAAAAACGAGGGTAATACAATGGAAAAACACCCCCATGCAACTATCCGTTTTTTGACTGTGACCTTGATCTTTGATATCTGACCCTGAATTTCTAAAGAAACCGACTTCTCCTCACAAGGGATACATGTTCCAAATTTGATAAAGGTATACTAACTGTCTTGGTCTCAATGCGTTTACAAGGTAATCATATAGTACTTATGCAAGTACTGTGACCTCTACATTCAATCCTCAAAATCATTACTATATCCTCTCCACATTGCCCAGGGATAACTGAAACTGTAATCCAAATGATAACTAATACCCCCATCACCCACAGCCTTAGTTATCTCCCCATGGTGACCTTTTGCAAAAAAACATCCTCTGAAACACAGCGGCATGTGCACATGTTCCCTAATATTCCTGCAAAGTTTTGTTGAAATTGGTCCACAGGTTTAGAAATTGACCGACATGCAAAACCTGTCTATATTGACCAGATGCCATGGCAATCAATATTTCCAGGGGAAAATGGTGCATGCACATCTACACATTGTCCCAGATATTACTGTAGTTTCATTGGAGTTGTCTAGACAAGATGTGTCTACAGACAGACAAACAGATGGATGGACAGATAGACAACTTGATTCGATTTACCCACCCTTTTGGTGGTATAAGAATGCACAAGAGTGCTTACAAATTCCATGTGGACAGACATCATGGAAAAATAATAATGATAATAATAAAAATAAAAACATGATAAAGATGCTTATATCTTGTTTTCTTTATTCAGTATACTTTCCATGCTTTGATCAGCAATGTAATCGTGTCATGTCAATATCCTAGTATAAGATTGCATACACAAAATTGTTGTAGGTAGACTTTTAAGATAAATAAAAAAAATACATGTCTAAGTTTAAATGAAGGTTTTAAACAGAAGTTGTATTATGTTCAGTATACAGTGATTTTTCTAGACAATTGTAAACTATAAACTCGGTATACAGCGATCTTTTCTACACATTTGTAAACAACAAACTCAGTATGCGGTGATCTTTTCTACAAAAAGTTTTTTTATATATTGTATATACACAACTCAGAAAAAAAAAATAAGTAAACCTTTCTATGTACACTACAAACTCAGTATACAGTGAGCCTTTCTACATAAACTTGGTATAACTAGTGAATCTTTCTACTTAAGTAAATTGAAGATTGTAAAGAAATTTACTACAAATGCAGCATACAATGATCTTTTCCACATTTTTTTAGTTTCTGCCATTTGTTGATTCTTCTCTTGTGATGGTAAATATATTGCCGCCTTTAGAGAGTACTGTGACCTTAAAAGGCAACATGGTTGTTAGCATATCCTCAAGTGATTAACCATCTTCAACATCTAATTGGAGGTCGGAAAGAAGGACGTTTTTCTCCACCATAAGGTCCTCAAATCCATTGTTGGTCACAATGGCCAATTCCAAGTTAGAATAATCAAGAGATACCTTCTACCATTCCAGATTTCATTTCTTCAGGGACATCCACCTGCTGAAAGAGAGTAAAGCAAATAAATAACTATATTTCTTTATTGCTATGATTATGTGCAAGAAATATACACTTCTGTATAAGCTTATAGTCTTGAACTTCCCAATAGGAGTCTATATTAAATATAATTAATTGTTTTGACATTCAGGACTGTCAAATTATGAAGTGATGGACAGCTAGAAAATAAGAATATCTTGACCATGGTCATACAGAGATTGAATCATAAAGTTAAATTCATGAGATAAATCTGTGCAGTATGATAATTTATTTTGACGTTTGTATTTCAAAAATCATTATGACTTGAAAGGTAATGTGTAATTTAATTAATTACATTGGACCGTCATGCAATGGCAATGCCATTTTCATAATGTAATTGTAATTTCATTAATTACATCATCATGTAATTGAACCCATGCCTGTTACAAACAGTAGCTGTCCTAACTGATCCTAAAATTAAATTTGGCTATGTCTATCACAAAATTAATGTTGGCTGTCTATTACAAATGCCATATTTAGCTACAGTAGAGGTATTTCAAAAATGTATGTCATTGTAACTGAAAGGACACAATTAATGGTTACTTAACCAGAACTACAGTTCTGAACAAACCACTACAAAGCCTGGTTAACTGTACTAAGAAAATGTCTTCTCAATTAATCAATTTCATTGATTATTGACATCTTATTGTTGTACTTACAGTCACTTGAGTTTCTTAAAAGTTGCAATTTGACTTTTAATTAGGCCCAAAATGATAATACTGCAATGTCTAATTAGCTCTCGAGGGGTATTGGTTAGACTATTTATCTCATTTCATTCCATTCACCATGAAAACAAAACTCTAAAAAACAGTCGACAATTAATGACAAATATTGAGCCTAGGGCTGGGTAAAATTGATGAATCAAAAGTGTTGAACTGAAAGTGGACGCAGTTGACATAATACTGAAATTTCTGAGATGAACAAATACAGTACATATATCAAAAAGTTCAATTGTACCAATAATACTTTACACATTCACACTGGGACTTTACACATTCACACTGGAACTTTACACATTCACACTGGGACCTAACACTTTGCTAAGTAGTACAGTACAATATTACGGATAAGTTTTTTTTCTGGTTAATTTCCGATCTGTTGGGCCACTGACAGAAGTGACTGCGATGAGACCATTATGAAACGATCATTCCAAAATAAATCCATTTCAAAATACTGAAATACTTTACGGAAGCAACAAAAATGTGCTAGATGCTTACATAACATTTTTCAAATGCATACTGCTTCAAGGGAAAAGTCTTGAAAATATTTTGAAAAAAAAGTGCTATGGCGGCAGTGCCCAGCTTGCGCGTCGCCGTCAAGCCTAAATTCAATAGACGTGAAGGCTCATTCCAAATGAATTGTTGCAAAAAATGCAATTGATAGTTCAGTATAAGTATTGACTTCAAATTCAGCTAACATATATATATATAGTGATACTTACCTACATGAATTACCCGCCATCTTCTTTCAGCCGCCGTCTTCTTTCAGGGTCCAGCAGCACAGAGCACCCCGGCTGTTTCCGTCAAAATTTTATGCTACTCTAAATCATTCTTATTTTAGTTTCATTTTTATTTTCAACTACATATATCAGTATTTTTAATAGTTATCAACAGTATTAAACGGGAAGTAAATTTTCGAAAAAAGAAAAATAGAAAGATATACAAATGTATATGACTCCCACAATGCATCGCGCGGAAAAGAAAGTTAAGCCGCCATATTGGCATCGCCTCGCAAAATTTACCACCATAAACGTGAGTCTTTGTCATTGTATTTACAAATTTCGATGTCTGATTATCATTAATACACAACACAAAACATTTTCTTGATGTACAGGTAATGAAGAAAATGTCGATAAGGTTGTTTCATTTAATGACTAGCATCAGCAACTTGTAGGGGCGATAATCCAATGATTACGGTAATGTCCGGCAGATGGAGTAGGAGTAAACTTTCGATTTATGAACCAATGAAAACGAAGTACTGATACTCAGCCTCAGGGGCGATAGCAACATGCTGAAGAGCATTGAAAATGCTCTTAGCATAAAAATCATTTATGGAAAAAGGTAAGGAGTAAAAAAAAAAGATTTACTTTACCAAGGCCATGGTAAAGTGACACCCACGCCCCATCCTAAATTTTCTCAAATCTGTTATTAGCTTGTTTTATTATGTATGGAAGAAATATAATTAACTAAAGTGATTAAAAATTAAGCAAAGATCAATCGAAAACAAAATATAAAGTGACATCACTTAACTATCATGGATGTGGGAGGGATTCATTTTACAATGGAATTCCCTTCCTCCTAACACATAGATATAAAAAGAGAAGGTGTTCCTCTTTATTGGATTCCTTTATGCATATCATTAGTGTTAGATTACTCTACATATGGAAAGTAATATTAGAAAAGCAGTTATGAATTAATGTCAATAAAGAGGCCTTTAGGCCTTAACGGTCATCTGGGTTGAATTTTTGTTAACAAATGACAAGCACAAACATATGATAAAAATGCTTTATCCAACATCTAGCTTACAGATTAAAGCTTAGAGTATTGTTTGTAACAAGTGTGGATTGAAAGGACATTGCAGAAATTTGAACAAATTCAACTCTGCACTGAAGTTTTCAAAACATTGAATCTCCTTTACAACAAAATTCCAACCCGATTTGTAATTCCAACTTAAAATAGATACAACAAGAAGTCCATGGACCTTAACGGTCATCTGACTACAGAAAAATTTCAGCAGGGAGAAGGGATATTTTTCTACTTTGAATGAAATCTTACTAAGAAGCTGTTTTCCATGATGCAGATAGTCATTTTGGTGAGAAGTAAGTACCTGTAACATGGCACCTATTTTTTGACAGTAAAGTTTGAGCTCAATCCCATTATTGGAACTTTAGAGGAAGTTTAAAATGTGAAAAAAATTTATGCATGCATGCTACCAGCCTAATATCAGTCCTTTGGGTCTTGCAGTTATTAAGAAGAAGACATCTGAAGATTTTAAGATATTTGAAACCTTTGACATTGAGATCAAGGTAATTAATTTGAACAATTTTGGTAGCCCTTCATCCCAGGATGCTACAGATATAATATCAGAACTCTGCGCCTTTTGATTATTATTGAGAAGTCCAAAATGAGTTATTCAGTACATTATCATATTAGTAACATATTTTTTGGATTATAGGTTGTTTTTTTTCCTTGCGAGTCGGGCATGTGGCTTACATACAAGTGCTGCTTTCATGTGAATGAAGTAGAAATCGGCAGGATGGGGAAAAAAAACAGGAAGTATATAATTACGAGACGGTACTGATATTTTTGTTTACCTGCCTGTCACATGTTTGCGAGTGAAACAGATCGTCTATAACCATTATTTGCAATTGTATACAGGATGATTTAAGATTGAAATGAAAATAACCTTATCGTGGATTTAATAAATAATACCTTTTAATATGAATCACAATAATACCTTGTGGACTTCTGTGGCTACTTCAAAGCCATAGCAGAAGTTTACAATAGCCTTTTGTATCCTGGGATTTATAGGTCATCAGGTTATAGGTCAAAATTCTAGAACGACCACTATGCTTGTTTACAATATGAATGGCATCATGTTACTTACAGGAAGACATAGCATAGGAATATCAGAATTTGGTCAGTATGCAAGGGCCTTCGTTAACATTTAAAAGTAGACAATGATGCAGAGATTATTAAGTAAACCGTACGTGACGTCAGGCCCTATATATGTGCATAGACAATCTATAAAGGAAGCCAAACCAAACAAGTTCTATATTTGCCATTTTACCTTTTCTAAAATACATCAATAAAATAAATGTATAATTCATTTGCAAACTTCATTAAATGCTTCACTGACAATCTTGAATTACCCTCTGTTGTCTGTTATATCAACAAACTACGGCCAATGTAATGGTAAGGGGATATATATAGAGATATACTGATACAGTTAAACCTACCATTACAGTCACCCAAAAAAGAGGGATCTTAGCACCCACCATTGTTTGATCTTTATATGCTCTGATGATGGTGGGCTAATAACACCTGTCTTTCAAAACCACTCATTTGTTGTCTAAATGTAATACAATTTGATGTCATTGAACCTCCATACTAAGGTCACCTGTCTATAGTGGCAACTTTTCTTTGCTCACTTAAGTGTCTTTATAAACAGGTTTGAATGTTTACCTTACTTTAATTATCTAATTGAAGTCATTCTTCAATAGTAAATTTTAAACAGAAACTTTTAAGTATGCATGGCATTGGAAGAAGACAAAATTTCAGACATGGGGTCACATAAATAGCACCCTTGATTTCTCCTAGAACAAGTAACAATGAGATTTTATTTGAATCAAATGCAGCATTTACTCATATAAATATATCCATTTACAGCCTTAGCAAATTGTGTAGAAGTGTTAATTCTTGGCGAGTCCATAATGTTCAAAATTTTTGATGATACTGAATCTTCTTTCTTAAAAATATAAAGGATTTCCATTATATGTAGGCAAACAACCGGGAAAAACTTGAGTCAAAGACTCAGATACCTGTGCACTGAAAGTCACTGCCCGAGATTGATTTTCAGAATAAACTTTTATGAAACTTACCAGTGTGTGCCCCCTGCATTCTCAGGGTTACTGTTGTTATTGACAGCCATAAACACATACTCTTTCACCTTGAGATTCAGTGGCTCCAAAAAGACTCCTAGCTCCTCAGCTATAACAGACAATATTCCTGTCAGTAGGAGCAACACACAACTCCAATGTAAATTGAATTCTTAATCAAATCTACCTTTGTTTCCCCAAAATGTTGCGTCTCAGAGCAGGTAATTCTGTGAGCAGAATATCTTATCTATTAATATCATAAAGAGTGTGAATCTTATCTTTAGCTAAATTATCAGTGCTTGTCTTAAATTGAAATAAAAACAAGAGGCCCATGGGCCTTAACAGTCATCTGACATAAAATACAAGATTTCAAATTTTGAACTTGAGAAGAAGTCGAAAATGTGTATTCAAGATGGCTGCCATGGTAGCCATGTTGGATTTCGGACCAACCCGAAATTAACAAACTTTGGTCAGGATCATTTCAGGTAATTTTCAGCTCAATAAGACATGTAGAACTTGAGAAGAAGTTGAAAATGTTTATGACGGACGACGCCGGATAAAAGGTGATCGCAATAGGTCATCAGACCCTTCGGTCAGATGACCAAAAAACAGGCTCTTCTCTCATATGGTTTTCTGAATAATTAACAGAGTTACAGTTAATTGTACCTGGAGAAAGCTTTATGAACTGTGTTACATCAGGGCTAATCAGGCACAACCTATCAGCAGAGTGGCTGAACTGCTCTCTCTCAAAATACCTGAAAATTTCAAAAATAGAATCATTTCAACTATGTATCATTTGACATGAAATCACAAAGTATATTCCAAATTGAGCCTTGGCTGTCATTTATCACATGCACACTAAAACTACTTAATATTCATTTTTTTTAAACACATAGTTTAGAATGAGCAGAAAAGTAGCTTTATATAGGATATAGAATACAAAAAAATTTACTTTCAGAACTAAAAGTTATGAAATAGAAAGGCATTTAGGCTAATGCTACTGTTCAATTGATAAATTTAAAAGACAACTGGCATTTCACATTTTGTATATCACTTTTGTATTTGTAGTATTATTTTGGACGAGTCTTGAACACCAATTCCAAAATTTTGATGAGTACCAATACTAAGAGATATAGCGAGTTTTCAAAATTTTAGCAAATTCCACAGGAATGTGAGCAAAGGGCTGAAACATTAAAGTCCCAAAAATCACTGTTCAATCTTTAATCAACTGATAAGTATTTTGTTTTCAATAACTCAACAACCTCACCTGACCCCATTTTCATTATTCATTATAGAAATTTGTACACTTACTATCATGGAGGTATAATATAACCCAGTACTTTTTTTAAATTGACTGATTAAATACACCACCACGTTTCAGAATACCCCGGCTTCATTCTCCATGATGCAGACCACAGAACCAGACAAGCACATCCTTACAATAATTGTAGACACATATCAGCCAGCAATGTCAAAAACAAACTTTGCCTATTTACATGATCTCTTAATTTACTCGTACACATAGAATTCATATCATTTGGTGATTGTGAATATTCACAATTATATTTAATGGTTTTTATAACCACAATCTGTGACTTTCCTTCTGTATGCCACTGTGTTGGAATTTAAGGGATCTCTGTACCCAATGATGACAGGATACAAGGAGTATTAGGATACCCTTGAGCTTTCTAACCAATGGGTGTGTTCACATCTTCTCAAACTTAGGATATTCCCTACTCCTATAGTATTAAAGGCCGCTGATCAGTCGATATCCTGGCGGCATTGTGCTGACAATGCGTTTGTCATGAATTTCTCGTCGTGTAAACCTCTAACAGTGTTTGAAGCAGAAGTTCACAACCTGCTGGAATTAACTACGTATGCACTCTACCGAATTACATCAGCATTTTTCACAACGTGTTGCACACCGACTTTACCAGTAAACAACGTAAAAACAGACAGAGGAAGTACCTTGATGTCGTTCATATGGGCTAGCCTTGAGCGAAAGGTCAGTAGTAAAAGTGACCATTGCCCGAAAGCTGAAGCGGGGTACATGTTATGTATAAATGTTAACTTCTACGGCAACCGAAAAACGCAAACTTACTCGAAGCAAAATCCTATGAGTTTATCGTTTAACCAATTTGCTCCTTCAAGGAGTTTCAAGTCCGATTTCCGCAACAAACTGTCATTAAAGCTCAATACTATATCGTTGTCTCCATCTGCCATGGTCACAATCCATATTATGTGACGTCACTTCCGGCGTCACTGAAAAGGTCAAACCTGTTCTAAATATTAAGGCATCGTGTACTTCAATTCATGTCATACTGAAATCAGAGAAATTATCGATATGTTTATATAAGAGATTGTTGGTAAGTAGAATGACACGAGTAAGGATGTGCCATCATCATGGCTTAGCGTCATACATAACACTATCACTCTCCATTAGAATGATAATCACACATCCATGACAGCATGATAATCAATTATTGTGGGATTAACATTCCATATTTATTTTCCATACATCATTTTTTATAATCATAACAAAAGGACTTAATATTTTTTTCTTAAGTAAAATACCTTTTCACTTCAGCGAAAAAGAATTTCAATTAAGTGAAAAATAATGTAATGCAAACACTTAACTTAAGGTAAAATAATTTCACTTGAGTGAATAAAACAAAATTCAAATTAAGGTTTACTTCCCTTCAGGCAAATGGCTACATTACTTTTACTTAAGTGAATTTATTTTCACCTTAAGGTAACTAGGGACAATGCAGTCTGGATGTTTCTTATCCGTGCCTTTTAAATACTGGACAGATCACTGCATTATATGAGTTATACTGTTATTTGTAGGAACTAGTTGATGTATCTGATTTTATTTTCCTTAAGTAAAAGAAAATAAAATAAAATAGGCGTTTTTCACATAAAAGAAAAAAAATCGTTATGTGTTTTTCACTTATGTGAAAAAGATTTCAATTTTCATTATGTGTATTTTCACGTAAGTGAAATACATTTTCATTTCCATAATGTGTTCGGGCTATGACTGGAGAGATAGTAAACAACAAGTGATTGGTTGATAAATGGGCAAGTCCAAATCTGTTGAAGAGGGTGATAGTTCAGACGCCCTGTTTGTTCAATTTTACTTTAGCGAAAAAGACTTTCACGTAAGTGAAGAGAAAAAGATTTTCACTTAAGTGAAGAGAAAAATCTCTTAAGATTAACAAAATCTATTTAACTTACAAATATGACATATCATCTTAACGAAGTTAAAAAATTGATAATTATTCTCAACACATCCGCCAGATTTCACACATCAACACATAACCCTCATCGCCAAAATGTTTCAAGAAAAAGTACCTTTAACAGCAAAATAAATTTCTTAAACTTAAGCTTGAGAGAGAGAGAGAGAGAGAGAGAGAGAGAGAGAGAGAGAGAGAGAGAGAGAGAGAGAGAGAGAGAGAGAGAGAGAGAGAGAGAGAGAGAGAGAGAGAGAGAGAGAGAGAGAGAGAGAGAGAGAGAGAGAGAGAGAGAGAGAGAGAGAGAGAGAGAGAGAGAGAGAGAGAGAGAGAGAGAGAGAGAGAGAGAGAGAGAGAGAGAGAGAGAGAGAGAGAGAGAGAGAGAGAGAGAGAGAGTCACATTCAATCAAATCCCTATTTTACTTTTTTGCAATTAAGAGATATCATCATCTTTGCTTAATTTCTGATCGCCATATATGAGAAAATTTCTGATCGCCATATATGAGAAAATCTAATTAAATTCCCAAAGAGAGGTTGTAACTGTCTTATTAATAGATTTCGATTATGAATGTATAGGGGACAAACATCAAAAGAGTAATAAAAGTCATCACATGGGTTGCTGCATCTACATTCAGGTGTATTACCTTTTGCTCTGAAAATGCGTAATCAAGAGATCTGGCAGGATTTCTCAAACAGAAATGAAGTATGTTTAAATTACGTAAATCCTAAACCTAAAAGTATTTGTCATGTATTATTTCTGTCTTACCGATAATTGATTTAAATGTATTGAAAGAATAAGAGTTCCTTATTGAAATATCTATGTCATACCACTTTTTTGTTGTTGACGAGAAAAAGAATTTCGCACGCTTAAGAGATAACCTGAAGTTCTAGTAATTGGAAACCATTTGAGAATTAAAAGATTTATGTTAAGATTAAATATCACATCTCAAACAATCAACGATTTAATTGTTTCATTATTTTAATGACCTCTAAAGAAACAAAATTGAAACAATGTCGTGAAAGTTTCGATATCATGTAATTTCCCTTTTCAGTTGAATAAAAGAAAATGTCAACTGATGTTTAGATCCAAGCACCTTTGGAGTCGAGAGCGGAGAGCTTACCACTGTGCTATCGTTACGTTACACATGATAAGTGAACATTTAGGAATCTTATTAAGTATGTAGTTTACTCCATCTATTGAACATATTTTGTGTTTGTGTGGAATGCAAAACATGTGTCAAGAAAAACAAAGATGACAATGATGCGGTCAGTACATTAATGACTGATTTTGCTAAAATGCGAAAAATTCAAATATCTCCATATCAACAAGCACTGCACCCCTACCCTTACACTAAAAATCACCCAAATAATATACATTACACAATTCTGATCTTTTATTGGGGAAACAAAGTATCTATTCGCTAGCTTTTTTCTGTAAGTGTGCGTTAAAAGTCGTACGTCAGATAACCTGTTTTACACTGAAAGATGACGCCAGCAATATGTGTTTCACATTGTCTATGATTAATGTATAATACAAAAGCTTATCTTGGAATCAAACAATTATTACTGGTTAGTCATATATCATTCAATGAAAAAAACAAGTTCATTGTAACATTTCACTACGTTGCGATGATAAAACCTTGAAAAAAGTGAAAATAGTTAAGTCCGCTTTCCTCGATATTCCAATCACCAGCAAATTAAAATTGAATTCATCAATATAATAAGTAGATCCTGATCAAGAGTAAGTCGAAAATATCGGGAAAATCCAATTTGCATATTTAAATAACTTATTTATATTTAAATAACTTATTTAAATATGCTGTCAAATTTGGGCATAGCGACGTTTCAAAGCCCCTTTTTTAAAACCAAAGACACGCCCACATCCTCCCTTTGGTGCATTTCTTATATTGGTGTCATGACGTCGTCTATGTGGTTTTAGAGTCATTTGCATACATGGTGCTGTTTCACTTAAAATTCAATGCAACAAATAAAATCAAACTGTTAGGAGGTATTCATGTTTGAACTACGTAGAAATTTTTTCGCGAAAAACTGAAATATGGTGATATTTTGAAGCTATCATTCTATAGTGTTGCGGGTACATACGTTCTATATACGTTACCTATCCCGTGATACCTAACGATAGCATGTAAAAACAATGAAATAAAATCAGTTAAACGGAGGTGAAGATCGAAATTCATCACCACAATTTACAAATTGCAATGCCCGACATTAGCTCTCTGTCTGATTTCATTGCTATTCTGAAATGAGTGCATTTTAAATGAATATATTTGAAACACCGCGATTAAGATTTGTCCTGTTATATATATACAGTCACACTATTTTCGACTTAGTGTACATATGATTATAGTACAGTTGAAAAAGTTGGTCGATTCCGTACCATCTCGTACAATACATACTTCCGTGTTAGTTTGTCTGATTTTGGCAGTATAGTCATCGGAACGTCACACTCTAATCTTCTACTGATTGTGTTATAAAACTTTTATTCTATATTAGGAGAAGGTGTAAAGTTGTAAAATTTGTGTTTCATCCCTTGTTCTAAGGATGACAATAAATATATTTAAATCTATTTGAAAATACCGCCCCAATCATTTATATTTATATTAGATAATGTCATGGTAACTTTGTACATGTATTTTATTATATAATTCCTTTGTATTACATTGTCATTCTTGCGATAATTTATTATAAATTCAATAAATACTGATATAACAGATCCGGGTTCATAATGCGAACGTTGGTAGTGCGGAAGGAACGAGATACACGTAAGCGAGCGGAGCGATGGAATTCTTGTTTGAGATTGTTTATATTGAAACGAGGTACACAAGCGCAAAATCCAGTTTCTGGTTACCTGACAATATAATACACATTTTGCTAACACATAAATATTCTTAGCTATGTAATTAGTACAGTATGTTTGTATTTAGAAATAGTTATTATTATGGAAACAGCCGCTATATACTAGCACTGCTGATTAGTTGTAAAAGTAATAGCGTTTAGTTATTATATGCAATGCTGGGTAAATGAATAGTAAATATGTAATTCAGCTTTATGTGATATAACAGGACACAACAGTTAGATATAGTCATATTTATGTCGTTCCAGCTCTAACCCATGGCAGCGGATGGGGAGAGATTCCTTACCCATAGGTTGCACCTAGGAAAAGTGATCTCTGTGGCGTTTTCTGAACCCCATCTTAGACTTGTTTAATGTGTTTTCATAACATTGTTAACAAGAAAATTTGGTATATGATGTACATTCATGATAGTTTACATATGTATATTTATATATATACGTCGTTAATAAAAACGGCCAATTTCAATTCATATTGAGTCTTTGTGGTTTATTTACAAGTCTAACTAGCTTGCCATGGTAGCTGTTCATAGTGGAATCATTTATAAATATGTGATATAACAGGACACAACATTTTGATATAGTTATAATTTGTGTCGTTCCAGCTCTAACTCTTGATGGCGTGAGGGCAGTGGTGACACGTACCATAGATGTACCATAAAGCCCTTTTGGGGGCAAGACGGCCATTTTTACAGTCTGGTGTGGACGAGGTAATTACTGAACTGTGTGGGCAGTTCTACTGTTGTATGCAGTCCTGTGTAGATAGCTCTACAGCTGATAATCTGAAGTGGACAACCATGTAACTCCAGATGTCCTGCGGACAGATGTTCTGTTAATTGTTCTGAGTGATGATAGATGTGACGGATGTCGTTTGTGGGCAAGCAGTTACACAGATGACCCTATTTGGGCAACTTTATACTGTCTGTATTGTGAGAAGGTCACCACATTTCTTTATGGTAGAGTATTGTGATCGGAGCAGCGATCGTCAAGGGGAAGGATTTAGAACATCCGTGTACATTTCTGTGTCGGACGTTGTTTGAATGACTTCTTGGTGACTAAGTGGATATCAGTCTGCTATTTGCAGTGATTAGACAATTTACATAAGTGAATGTAAAATTATAA